AGGTCCTGAACCAAAAAACTATTAATTTGTAAGCAATATCGAGATAATTTCGATATAGACATTTCGCTGTCGGACTTCCTTACTAGTCGCGGCGGCGAACGTGAGTACCCGTGGCCTGCAAACGGTGCTGCGCGAATGGTCGCCTCGCCCACCGCTTCGCTGTTCGCACCGCCGATCCCCGTGGCCAGGCCGTAAGTCTTTAGTTGAAATAGCTAAGCAATTTAACAATTGTAAGTCGGTTTTGCACAGACATATGACAAGAACAATGAAATCTCAAGGTGGACAAAAATGTCTAAGTAATACATAATAAAATATAGTAATATTTGTTCAAAGTTATCCTGATCCACCTGATTAATCCATGGAATAACGGACACACCTAAGCTCTTAACTCAGATAAAAATATCAGCTCCTAAGTACTTACTAAGAATGAAGAAATATAAACGGCTTTTATGAAAGCCCGCTCGTTCGAATTTAGGTGCTTACCCTCCCTTAAACAGAATTGTTTGGGACTACAATAATGTCCACGGTAGTGCGGTCTCCGTTAATGTTCATTTAATTTTGGGGTTGTCTGATTGCGCTGAACTAACTTTAAGTGATGAAATAGGTGTTTTTTCTAATTGTCTTACAACTTACAGGAAAAATCTGTCGCGGATAATTTCCCAAGTAAATATAAATCAATCATTAGTAATGAAATGTAATCAAGTTTTAGTTATATATTTTTTATTTTTGTTGTCAATGCACTGTCAACTGCACCTACATCTGCCATGTACTTTGGTCAGTTTTTCAATGTTTTTATTGATGATCACTTTGTTGGTGCAACTAAATAAATAAATTAATTAAAACCAAGGAATGCCAGCCCTAGCAAATTTTTCTATGAACAGTGAACACTAATTTCGTCCCCAATAACCGCAATTTCTGGGTAAATAGGGATAACACCTATTTTTGCTTTTTTTGCATAAACTGGAATGCTAATTGCATAGCTTTAAATTGGATAACAAAGATACCCTCAAGACTCAATCATTTTGATCCTGATATAGCATTTTAAACATCAACAACTACCTTAAAATTGTTCATCAAGTTGGGATTTGTCTCTAATCAGCGCGTTTTACCGATAGGTACCGGTAAAAAGCAAAAGTTGGTGATATCCCTATTGACCCGGAAATTGGGTGTTAACCCCCAATTAATGGGGGGGTACGGAATTTGTGTTAATAGAGAAATTTGCTAGGGCTAGCACTACTTGGTTTCAATTAATTAATTTATTTATTTAGTTGCACCAACAAAGTGATAATTTTTATGTGTGTATATAATAATATATACTCATAAATATAATATATATATATCTGAGTTAAGAGATTAGGTGTGTCGGTTATTCCATGGATTAATTTGTATAGAAATATGTTAAGATTTTATGTGGAAGAATAAGCAGACTCGGTTTTTTATCACACATTATATTTTTATTCACACGACACAATCTTCATAAGAAGAGAATGTAACCATGGTAACGAGTCAACATTACTAGCCCGGCGACACGCAGCTAGTTCTGTACCTCAAAAAAATATATCATCCATTAGTTTCCTCCGGTTAAGAAGAGTCTAGATTAAAGTGTAGCTATAAGACAAGTTCCATAGAAACCGTTTCTGGGCACTTTCCAATCGTTTCTTGTTTATCTCATAATGAGGATTTCACATAATTCAGCAATATTCTAAGGTACTGCGTACGAGATAAAAATTATAAATTGAGAGCATTATAAATTGTGAAATTAATAATAAATTTCCGATATTCCAAATAACATTGTTTTTTTTATGCCAATTCGGTCTAAATATACCTTTATTATTATGCGTTTGCGTAAGTCATAAGAATCAAGTGGATAACCCCACTCTGAACAAATATTAATTTATTTTATTATGTATTTTTCTACTACTTCACTTAGACATTTTGTCCACCTTGAGATTTCATTGTCTTTGTTACATGTTATATTAAACTGCTTAGCTATTTCAACTAAAGATTTATTTCCAATTTCATAAGCTTCTATTGCTGTTTTTAATATTAATATTTCTTATAAGGCTTTGCACTCTTTGATACGTACACGCGAGACATACCTATCTAAAAATAACACGTAACTGATAATATAAATATTTGCTAAGCAATAAAATAACACTGCATTCCTAATTAAATAAAAGTTCTAGACAAAAACATCGTGAATAAACTAGATTCTTACCAACACGTTTAAAAAATATTGTTATAACTACATAGACAACCCTACAAACCTATAACTAATAACGACTGAGACTTACCTTTAATATTTACTATGGCCCAAACACTGAATAATGATTATAAATCACAGTCCTCTTCTATTATTATCAAATAAATAGAAGAGAGCAAAGTTTCTAGCAATAAAATAATTACCACAACAAGAAGTTAATTGGAAATGGGATTTTTTAAAAGTTATCAGCTATTGACGTGCATAATCAGAGTTACTTTGTGAACTTTCAACATTCTACTATTGCACTACAAAAAATGTAAGATTTTACAACGATTAAAAAACTAATATTGAGCGTCGAAATATTGTCCTGGTTTTTCCCCATTCACCTCTCAATCCCTAACCACCCCGTTTTACTGTACCTAATACTTAGATGATGTATAATAAATAATCATATTAAGTGTATAATCTATGCCTATAATACCATAGATAATATTCTTGGGAATGTGGACGAAAGACCTCGATTTGGTGGGTACGGTACCTACATATTATTATTTTACTTACTCACATAGCAGTAATAATTGGTAGGTACCTACCTTAATTGGTATTCAGGCAGGTGTTGATTAAAGTGAATAGGTACTACCACGAGAATACAAACGTATGTGTTGATAGGAAAGGAGTGTACCTAGAATATACGAAAACTAAACAAACCAGTCAAACCAAGTCAAACGCGCAGTTGTTTAAAGTGTACAAATTAGAATTTGTTCCGAGTTTTTATTTCCTAATTTGATCTGAACATTTTATCAAACAGTGAGCTTTCTTTTTCATTTATAGTTACGGATACGAGCATTCTAGGAGTAGAACTCGTGATGTGGATACATTTTTTAGATGCTTGATTGAGTTTTAATTTATTAAATTGATAGTTGGACTAAACGATGTTTTCTAAGAAGAAGAAAAAGCCACTTATTTCGCCGCCTAGTAATTTTGAACACAGAGTACACACTGGTTTCGATAAGCACGAGGGAAAGTTTGTTGGACTTCCTCTTCAGTGGGCTTCACTCGTTGGAAACAATCAGGTAAATTGTTTTCATTGTTTGTTAATCGAAACAATCTAGGCTCAATTAATGATTAACTTAAGTTTCAACTACAGTTTTCATCTGTTTTAGTCATTGCATTTTTTTAAATTTTTATTTATTGATTAGTTGAGTGGACGAGCTCACAGCCCACCTGTTGTTAAGTGGTTACTGGAGCCCATAGACATCTACAACGTAAATGCGCCACCCACCTTGGGATATAAGTTCTAAGGTCTCACGTATAGTTACAACGGCTACCCCACCCTTCAAACCAAAACGCATTACTGCTTCACAGCAGAAATAGGCAGGGTGGTGGTACCCACCCGCGCGGACTCACAAGAGGTCCTACCACCAGTAAACTATGTTGTTTACTAAAATGATCAAGATTCTAATATTGATTGCACCTAATCAAAGATTATGCTTTAATTCTAATCCATTCACAGATATTAAAATCAACAAATCGACCTTTACCATTAGTGGATCCCTCTGAAATTACTCCTACAGAGATATTAGATTTGAAAACAATTGTTAGAGGTGATCACAGGATAACACCAGTGTCAGCTGTAGCAAGACTCTTGCCTGCAAACATTCCACAGCCACAACCAGCCAACCAACAAAATGGTTTTATATTGCCAAAGACATCAAATGTTGCTAGATCTAATTCTCTTAGAAGCACAAGTCCACCAAAAATTCGACGAGATTTACGTAATCAGGCTAATGTACCACCATCAGTACCCGAAGAATCTCCTCCTGTGCCACCTGCTCCACAGCAGTATCCCAGTTTGAGACGGGAACAGAGTAACTATGCTGTAAATAAGCCAATTCCAGAGTCTCCAGTGGAATGGTCACAGCATATGCACGAGGCAACAATCAGACAAGTTGCTGAAATTAATGATAACCATCATGCTGGTATGACTTATCAGAACATACAGAATGCGAACATGCCATATCAACATAGTCATCAAACACAAGCTGTTACTCACAATATGCATCTTGGCCTTAATGGAAACAACTTATCCATTGGTGAGATTTTTTACTTCATTTTTTTTATTATAGGATCCATTTGATAATAATACATCTGAGATTAAAATTATCTGTATGTATTAGAATTGAAGGTACTTATAAATATAAGAATATATAATATAAGAAGGTACTTATTCCTTAATTATTCTTATTTTGGAACAGAACAGGCAAGTTTTAGTCAACAGTAAAAGCATTGGTATTATTCTGATGCACCAAAGAGACTGTATTCAAATTATAATGTTTATTGGTTCTGGTAAATTGTCTAACATCTGGTTGGCATGAAGCCATTTGTCTATATAACTAATATAAAGTTTAAAGCAAATTTCACATTATCTCGTAGGTCTACTTATATAGTTGTCTGTGTAGCTACTAACCCTTGAAGTTAATTAGCATTAATAAAATTTAAGAAGTTTGGTAACCCTAAGAAAAACCTAAGAAGCTTATGTACATTTCATACTCCAGTTTGATTATCATCTTTGTGTTAAATAATAATAATTTAAATTGTGATGTACATAAAATTGTTCTAATATAAAGATGTAAATATTTTTTTAATTGCCACAGATGTTTTACCAGCCCCTCTGGTGATTAGCAATTCTCAGAGCCCTTGCATACTACAACCTGAATGTCAGCCTTGAAGACAAAACAATGTTGACATTTCAGCTTTTATAAGAATATTGGCTATCTCTCCATTCAAACCAGATTATCGCCAGATTTCTTTGCATTGCAAATTAATCTATGTGGGTTTTCATCACTTCCTTTTAATATTCAGGATAGGAAATAAGGAAAGTGTTCTGTTAGAAAATAAGCTGAGGATGCTAATATTATTGACAGATGGGAAAGAACCATGAGTACTCTGAGAAAGTCAGGGTTACACACCCATGTCTTTACATTAAATACTATTACTATGTAAGATCCTCTGATATTTTAATAAACTAGTGAATTCTTCATCAGAATTGTCAGTTTCTGCAATATATAATTAAATTGATTAATTTTCACATTATTTTTTATTTTACATACAGATTGAAATCTGTAAAGTATCTTCATGTCAGGTTGACCATTCTTTTCACTGGCAGAAACATCTCATAACCAGACATATAATCTTGTTATGTGTTGCTATTTTCTGTGAAATGTAATTAAATTAACATCAGGTGTGATATGTGTGCAATATCCTATCTTTGCCATATATCAGTTGTGTTTCTGTTTTTATATATAATAATTAATGATGGAATGCATTGTATGTATTGTGTGCATGTAATGCATTCCATTATCTATATTTTTCATGCATCTATAACAGTCAGACAGACAGACAAAAAGCTTCTCTGGATTGTTGATATTTGTGCTGATTACATCACAATCAGTGCTTTAAGAATGCGTTAAAAATAAACATAAAAAAACTCATTTTGAAATACCTAACTAATAATATAGAATTTAAAGACATTAAAACTTCAAACTGTTTTCGGAAAGACAGACTACATCAATTACAATATACAATAGCCACTTCCGATATAGAAACATTTTGCAATATGTTTGTAGTTAAAGAAGCCATAGTAGCACTGGCGACTTATTGAAAGACAATATTATTAAGTAATTTGTTTACATACATTTTTTTATTAACTATGTGAATCAAAAACTTTATACCCCTTTTTACGAAAATTGTGCGGACAGAGAAGTATCAAATTTCCCACACTTATAGAGAATATAGTGAAAGAGTGCAGAATTCTAATTTTCTTTTTTTATTATTAATAAAAAATACATTAAATCAATAACATTACACACACTACCGTGTATTTGACACACACACACGCATATATACTCTTTTGTTTATTGTTAAAGTCTGTGGTCAAATTGAAAATCGAATTGTTTTTAATATTATTTGTCTATAGTGTAGCCTTGGCTAAAACTGTGATTATAGAACAATTATGATTATATTAATGTGACAATAGAACCATAATAATGTACAAACGTATAATTTCAATTAACTATGGTCGAATTTCGACCGCTGGTCGCCTAATAGTTTAATTAAATTGTTTAATTTTTAGGTGAGAACCAACAAGTTCTGCGTCACCAGCATCCTGCATCGACCGCCGGTCCGGTCTCGACAGCGACCTCAATACCGCTCGCCGCATCAAAGCATGAATTGCGTTTGACGCATGAACAGGTAAACTGCAGAGGCGGATTATCCGTAAGGTAAACTAGGCACGTGCCTAGGGGCGTGTAGTTACAAGGGGCGCGCGAGCTCAGAATTTTTAAATAAATAAATAAAATAACATATCGACGATTAAGAACTAAATGCTGATCTGTAATTTAAACTATTGCACAAGCGTCGATATACTCGTATTATGCAATATGGCGGGTTTGTTTGTATTTCATTCGCGCATTAGCGTAAGTACGAGGATCCTGATCTACTAAAGTCTAGGGTTTCATGATACAACGTCATCGTAATTGCAAAAACAACTAGTTAAAATTTATAGTAGGTATTATGATGGCCATTTATGGCCGGTACAGGGGCACCGATAAAGTGATTGCCTAGGGCGCTCTGGACTTTTAATCCGCCACTGGGTAAACTTTCGTCTCAAATTTCATAGCAGTGTTCTGCTATTGCCTAATAGTAATAATAACAGTTATTGTTTTGCCTTTCATAACGGAGTGTGAAGGCTTTGATTTTTTAATACCATAACTAACTTATCGATGGTAAATAACGGCTGCTGACGACACAGTTGTTCATTTATTTTGTTTTAATGTTCACTATACTCTATTCCAATTACGAAGTCCCATTTGTGATTTGACAGATGTTATTATTATGTTATTGTGTGTGTGAATTAATTGTATAATGATTTAGATTGATTGTGTATTTTTAAATGATGTTTACGACTATGAACAAAAAATGCTTATTATTTCAAATTGTGCAAAACGTGAAGAGTTACGTTCTAATACCGGCCACTCACATGCGCGCAAATTTCTCGCCGGATCTTCTCAGTGGGTCGCGTTTCCGATCCGGTGGTAGATTCTGTGAAGCACTGCTCTTGCTAGGGTTCGTGTTAGCAACGTCGTCAGGTTTGAGCCCCGTGAGCTCACCTACGAGTTAAGGTTACGCTCGAATAGCCTCTCAAAGCTACCAGCTTAGGTAGGAAAAAAAAAATAGGTATAAGAAGTGTCAAAAGGGACTTCGTAATTGGAATAGAGTATAGTGTTCGTCTAATAATTGAAAATCGACGTTAATCACTGACACCTCAAGATTTTCTATTATCAGTTTATTCGAAATTTTTTTATTAATAATATTGTATTAATTAAAATTGAAAGTTCGTCAATAGGTACTACTACACAAACATAAAAGGCAGATTCGATGAACAAAAGGGAAAATGATACTTAACCGTTTTGTCATTGCTTATTTTTAAACAGAAAGGCACATACAAACTTTCACTACATTAGTAAAAACATCAGTCAAGCCGAGGTGTTTGTTCGGTCATCGCTATGGGTATTGAATGCCTAAATCGCTGTGTCTATTATAAATTGACCACCAAAGGTCATGTTAATAAAACGTTGTTTTTTTTTTCAACTATTCATTTCTAATAAAATATGTAAATGCGTTGTATGTACTTAATGACCAAAATAACAATATAAATTTACTAGCCGTACTCGCTCGCTTCGATGGCATTTAAAATTAACATTATTATTTATTGTCCTTATTATTAGGTAGTCCAACACTCATATAAATATTAGCCTATCCATTAAGTACATGTATTTTCTACATGGATACCAAGTTTCAACGCAATCGGATGCATGGTTCAGTAGTTATAACGGAACATCCGTAAAAACCACAAAACTTGGTATGGTATTTATTTATCGATAGGGCTGGTGGTCGTGGCGCCGACGACCGCCGGTTCGGCGTCCCGAGGGGCAGGGTGATGGGAGAGATGTGCTCTGCACTAAACGCTTCACTTTTCCCCCTTTGCCTTTTCATGAGCTCTGTTGGACGTTGGTTGTGGAGCGACAGGAGGTTTTAGTCAGTTCGACTCCGACATGCCCCGCCGTCCATTCCCAGTGGAGGGCGGAAGTCCGGCGATTTCCTCCTGACCAAAAAAAAAAGGTATTTATTCCCATCGTTGCAATTAACAATATGTTCCGCAACAGTTCCGCGCAGCGCTACGTCTAGTGGTGAGCGAGGGCGATCCCCGCGCTACGTTGACCGGCTTCAATAAGATCGGCAAGGGGAGCACGGGCATAGTTTGCTCGGCGACCGACACCCGCACGAGGAGAAGCGTCGCCGTCAAGATGATGAACTTGCGAAGGCAACAGAGACGAGAACTTCTGTTCAATGAAGTTGTAAGTGTATCAATGAGTTTTATTAAGTGAGTTCATCAAGATCATTTGATGATCTATATTAGTTCGGTTATTAAAATACACAGTGCTATTTTAGCGGATACCTGTCACAGAAGACAAGATATTTGGCAGATGTTTGAATTTCGTTAACGACATTTTCAAGATAAGTTTCGATAAATATAAGTTCCGAACGCCATCCTTTGGACTGTCCGTCTATCGAGCAATTTCACTCGCTCGGTAGAAGATCTTCGTTTTATCATTACTCCCAAACTGTCATCCCTCGTTAAATGACGAAACATCTTGACAGACAGAATAGAGACCTAAGACAATCGACAATAAGGTACAAAGTCGAGTAACCGTGAAGTATTAACTTAACGAACATTTAAAAAAAAAGTCTTGGATCATCCAATAGAATCCGATCTTACGATTTAGATATCGTTATTTGTACCGCATAAACTTTGTTTGACTGTTGTAGGTGATAATGCGAGACTACCCGCATCCGAACATCGTAGAGATGTACGCTTCCTATCTCGTGGGTGACGAGCTGTGGGTGGTCATGGAGTACATGGCGGGCGGCGCGCTCACCGACATCGTCACCCGCGTCCGGATGGACCCGGAACAGATCGCCACGGTCTGCAAGCAGTGCTTGAAGGTAACGATTATGATAACAGCCCTCTGACTTTCTCGCCGGATCTTCTCAGTGTGTCGCGTTTCCGATCCGGCGGTAGATTCTGCCACTGGGTTCGTGTTAGCAACGTCGTCAGCCCCGTGAGCTCACCTACTAGTTAAGGCTACGCTGAAATAGCCTCTCAAGGCTATCAGCTTAGGTAGGAAAAAAATAATCCCATATCCACCTTTGAAAAAATTATTGTTGTCTCATTAACTAATTTACATGTGTCGCAAGAAATTTAATTGTACTAAGTCTTTACATATAGAGTAATGTACAAAATCAAACATAAAAAGCTACGAAATAGAGTAAACGATTTCATAGTATTAATAATAAAAAAATTTAAAGAAAAACAAACATAAACGTTGCTTTCTAAAGTAAAGATTTTTTCATCATGTATTATTTTTTCATTTTTATATCTCAATTAGTCTTAACTAACTAACTAATAAATACATATATTTTATTTCAGGCTCTGGCATTCCTTCACAGCCAAGGCGTTATACACAGAGACATAAAATCCGATTCAATCCTAATGACGGCAGACGGGCGCGTCAAATTATCAGACTTTGGCTTTTGTGCTCAAGTGTCGCAGGTTCGTTTATTTTGAATATTTCACGAGCGCCCGCCCGAGGTGTAGGGTCAACAGAACAGTAACAAAACATTCTGAAATACCGAGTCTGGTAAAAGGCGTCTCTAAATCCTATGACCGGATTATGAAGCTTACCAAAGTGTAATTCTAACCGTTTTCGTCTTGAAGCAAGTATTAAAGCTGTACAGCAGCAGCAGCACCTGTAAACAGGTTGGTCGTTTCCGGTGTAATGACGTCACAAAGTTGCGCGTGTTGCAAGAATAACCGAGCCATATTCGTGTGATGGTAGTGAATTGGACATTGATATTGGTGACGTCAGAGCAGCAGTCTAATTAATTGTGATATTGTACAGTGTGCTTAGCGCGAAAGGGAGGCCCTATACTATATTCGTCTGTAGATATGTAAGTCTGTCTTATTAGCACTAAGTGTACATGCAGGTCTTACTAAGACTTACAGAATGTTATATAGATTTTTTTAGAAAAACACACTAGCTAACGTATACGAACAATGTCGTTTGTTTTATAGAATAAAGGCAAACGTTTAAGCATAGACAATAACCGGAACCTAATTTTAATATCAGATTCAAAAAAATGTACATCATCGACGAAATGTTGTAGCCTTAAATTTAAATAGTCTGAAGAACAAGTTACCTACAAAAAGACACTTTCATTATGTTGGCATTGATGCGTACTCAGTACGATAGAATTTCGAGTAATTGACAAGTTGATGCTAATATCACTCTGTGCCCACCGTCTGCAGAATATGAAAAGAAATATTATGGTGAAAATAAAAAAAAAAATGTTATGATGATTTCAGGAATTACCTAAAAGAAAATCACTGGTTGGTACACCGTACTGGATGTCGCCTGAGGTGATATCGAGGCTGCCGTACGGACCCGAGGTGGATGTGTGGTCGCTGGGCATTATGGTGGTCGAAATGGTCGACGGTGAACCGCCATTTTTCAACGAACCTCCCCTACAGGTAGGTTTTCGTGAATTTATTTGGTAATTAAAGGTCAGTCAAATTTTGATTGTGCTCGGCTCGTATTTTAGCAAAATATAATATACTAGCGAAGTCCCGCGCGGTTATTGTCGTACCACGGGTGACGCCGTGACGCTAGCTGGTCTATAAAAAGTAGCCTAAGTTACTCCTTATATCATCAGCTACCTATCAGTGAAAATCCCATCAAAATCGGTCCGGCCGCTCCAGAGACTAGCCGGAACAAACAGTAAGACAGACAAACAGACAGACAAAATTAAAAAAAATATGTTATTTTGGTATATGTACTTTGTATACAATTTTACGCAATTATTAAAAAGTGGTTATTTTATTATTACAAACAGACACTCCAATTTTATTTATTTATATGGATAAATATTCAACGTCATCAAATATTTAGAATCTATGAAGACTTTTATTTTATCTACAATCACACATACAAATCAAAAATATGTATACTTTGATTTCGACTACTAATTACTTATAGCAAAAACTAGCCAATCGATCTTTGATCGTAAACTTGTCATTATCATTATCACTAGCGCAACGAGACACATTTATTATTTTTAATACGCTTTTATTAGCTTCAGACGTATGTATGTTAGTAAGTAACGGAATCTTTGAACATGATTTTGACCCCCTTCAAAACGTCAGATTATCTCGAAATTTGGCATACTTATAAGGACCGATGACAATTCAATAAGAAAAAAAAAATTTTAAAATTTAAATTCAACTAAAAAATGAAAAATAAATAATAGTTTACGAAAACTAACAAAATACGCTTTTATAGAAACCCAAATAAAAAATAGAAAATAAATTTTAATAAAATTGAATTAAAAATAGTGTAAGAAAAAATGAATTTATTGTAAAAAAAAGCATGGTATCAGTAGTTATAATCTCAATAGTTGTAATCTATAATAATATTATAAAGCTGAAGAGTTTGTTTGTTTGAACGCGCTAATCTCAGGAACTACTCGTCCGATTTGAAAAATTCTTTCAGTGTTAGATAGCCTATTTATTGAGGAAGGTTATAGTATAGGCTATATATACATCACGATAAGACCCATACAAGCGGAGCATCAATAAAGAATGTTTCAAAATCGGGTTTTTTCCCTTTTGAGAGCTTCCGCTACGTGCGTTGCTGAAATGTTTAAAGTTTCGCTAAAATAATGTATGACAGAATTGTTCTCCTTTAAAAGATCTAAATAAAATTCGCGACAGCATATGACTATATGTTAAGGTTGGCTCACTATAACGTTTTTATGCTAACCAAATTTGTTCTAAAACAAAGCATTTTTTGTGAACTATTCCACGCGGACGAAATCGCGGGCAAAAGCTAGTATTTTATGTACAGATATGAGTAGAAGGGTTATTTTGACAATAATATCCTGAAAAGCATTTTAAACTATTATTTCTTATATTTATGTCATGTCCGGGATGCAGGCGATGCGTCGGATCCGCGACATGCCGGCGCCCCGGCCGCGCGGCGCCGCCCGCTGCCCGGCCGACCTGCTCGCGTTCGTGGAGAGCGCGCTGGTGCGGGACCCGGCGCTGCGGCTGTCCGCGCCGCGGCTGCTCTCGCACGCCTTCCTGCGCCGCGCTGGCCCGCCCGCGCTGCTCGTGCCGCTCATGCACGCGCCCTGACGCGCCCCGACCCGCCCCGACCCGCCCTCACCCGCCACGGGACACGCCGACTGTTTTCAACTGCTCTCGGGTAGACCGGTGTTATAAAATAAAAGAGTCAACTGTATTAATACGATAGGTGTAATATTTGGTTAATTTATAAAAGAGTAACAAGCAGGTGTCGCGGGTATCGTTGCTGCACGAAGTGTCGAAGAAGGTGTTAAACCGTGACCCCGCGCCGCTGTCCTCCTCCCTTCGCCCGTGCCGCGCGATCGTCGATGTTCGTGCATCGACACCGACAATCGCAACCGACACAAATCCGGACGAACTAATCTATACTAATATCGTCTTTTCGCATTAAAAGCGTACAATTTCCAAAAACATTCGAAATTTGGTATCACCAGTATTTTTTTTTCTAATAAATACTGTCGTCAAAAGAGCGTAGTTAATTTTTTTTTTTTTTTTTGTTTACCTATGTTTTGACTACTATTAACAAAATTAATACATAATTTTATCTTACTTTAAAAGACAGAAAATTTAACTGGTACATAATAAAAAATAAATATTGCAAAGATGATTAATATTAAAAATGTCACATGTTAATCCTAAAACACTCTCCTGTAAAATTAGTAAGTTTTGAGATTATATAGTTTTAATGCGAGAAGACGATATATAAATCTACAGTGGTTTTTACGGATGTTCCATTATAACTACCGAACCATGCATCCGATTGCGTTGAAACTTGGTATCCATGTAAAAAATACATGTACTTAATGGATAGGCTAATATTTATGAGTGTTGGACTCCCTAATAATAATGACAATAAATAATAATGTTAATTTTAAATGCGCAGCGAAGCGGGCGAGTACGGCTAGTTCTGTCACAAAAGCGACCACTCGTCAAACGGAGAATTGCGGTGCAAATCGATGCCTCCAATGAACACTACTCTAATTTAAATTTTTGTTTTTCACGCAAATCGCTTCATTATTTTAAAAGTATTACAAATCATTATTGATGCGGTTCAAAGCAAGAGTAAATCAGCTAGTTACATAAAAAGAACCATAAATGTATCTGCAATAATAAGGATTTTATCAATTTTTTTCGTTTAAACGCTCCTCCTGTAAACCTACGAATTTGGAGTTAGCGTAGTGTTCATTGGAGCCATCGAAATATTCCGAGCGATGACACCTACTAGTGTCTCATTATTATTATTTTCTACCTATGCTGTACAACTGTGGGCAGGTTGGTCGTTCCCGGTATAAGGACGTCACAAAGTTGCGCTTGTTGTAATAGTAACCGAGCCATATTCGTGTTATGGTAGTGAATTGGACATTGATACCTGTGACGTCAGAGCAGCAGTCCAATTAATTATGAGGCCGTATCCTATAGGGCAGTGTACAAACTCGTTTGTAGATGTGTATGTCAGTCTTACTAGCACTAAGTGTGCATGCGTAGGTATGAAATAGACTTCAGAGGCTATTTCAGCGTAACCTTAACTAGTGGGTGAGCTCACGGGGCTCAAACCTGACGACGTCGCTTACACGAACCCTAGCAAGAGCCGTGCTTCGCAGAATCTACCACCGGATCGGAAACGCAACTCACTGAGAAGATCCGGCGAGAAACTCAGTGGGCTGTGTCTGTGGGTTAATTTACCCGTCGAGCCCTTTGTCTCAAGCGACGGGTTCGACGAGAACGATGACCGGCCAGTGTCTCAGTTGACGCCATGAAATTCATCAGCTAACATGTCACAAGCTGTTGGTTGCGCAACGAAAGCTTTCCTTGATTATTCTATTACAAATCCTCATGTTATTTGGTTACAACAAACTGAAACAGGTATTCATTATATAAATCAGTAAGTGAAAAAAATCTCACTTTGTCAAGAACGGCCATAGACATCTCATATTTTCTGTTGAACGGCCAATATTAGTTATCTCTCTCTAAATGATATGATTAGATGAACTCTGAATTATTAATTTATGGAAACAATCCAGATTATTGGAATCATGACATACCCAAGTTGTTTTACGCAACTTCTTTTTGTAACGCAGTCAATATCGATTTCGATTAAGGCTCATTCATGTAAATGTTTAAATAATTATTCTGTTTTTCTGCTAAAATCATATTCACATTTGGTAGTATTAGGTCTTTTAGAATTGACCAGTGTGTAATAATATGTATATGTATTAAATAAATCTTCATATCAATTGTATTCTATAAAAAATAGCTTAGTTGAAAAATCGTCTGTTATTGAAACAAAATGTTATGACATTCCGTATTGTATTTTCTTATTATTGTACGTATTATTGTTAAACATTCTTTATTGCCATAAAATTGTTGAATTGATGTAGTTTAAAATAATTTATTACATTTGGAAGAATAGATATTAGTGTGATACTCAACTACCCCGTCCAGTAAGTACAACGTTTTGTCATGTTTCTCTCTTGTTATTAATCATAATGTTTCGGTCTACTTAAATTATAATTGGAAACATAAAAGTTATCAACGAATTACTTAAGTGTTTCGAACAGAGTATTAACATTGACAATTCACAAAGATGATTCGGTTTTAGCGATAAGTTAATCATTTTTTAGGATTACTTAAAAATGTCAACATTCCTGAACTTCGATACTTCCAAATTCTTGTCACAATTTTAGGTAAATTGTACAAAAAAAATATCTTGGCCTTGTAATTTAACTGTGATTTCACTCGCCGACTTTTTATTAATATATTTACCTTCGACTTACGAATAGGCTAGATCCGCTAGAATTAAAATTATGAAATATTAAAATGTTATTCGTATTTATAAGAGGGCCGCTAGGTTTGATATTAATCCTTCATATTTTTAGACGTAACAACAGCCTTAATAGTATTAGTGCCTTAAAGTAGCCTAACGTAATTTTAAAAATAATGCACCTGATATTAGCTGTAAGGAGATATCGATATTCTCATCACAAATTACCCATCTCTCGTGCAGCTGTATTTTTCCGTAATTTATTGTTACATCGACATCCGTTTTGTATAAGGTTTTAAGCCAAATATATTGTATTATGAAATCACATTGTTAACAAAAATGTTATGAAATATAGATTTTGAAATAAATTTTATCTTTTGATTTTCACTTTTCTGTTGTAAATAATTTCGTTTTGGCCTAAAATAATGGAATACACAACTTTGTAAGATATTTAATAAATGACTACTAATTTTTCTAATGAAATACGTAGGTACTCAACAAATGTTCACGATTGACTTTCACGATGAAGGAATAACATCATGTAATAAAATACAAACTCGCAAAATTATAATTTGCGTAATTACTGGTGGTAGGACCTCTTGTGAGTCCGCGCGGGTATGTACCAACGCCCTGCCTATTTCTGTCGTGAAGCAGTAATGCGTTTCGGTTTGAAGGGCGGCGCAGCCGTTGTAACTATACTGACAACTTAGAACTGATATCTCAAGGTACCCACCTTTACGTTTATACGTTTACGTTTACAAGGTGCATTTACGTTGTAGATGTCTATGGGCTCTAGTAACCACTTAAATGAGCCTGGTGGGCTCTGAGCTCGTCCAGACATCTAAGCAATTAAAAACTGCTAGTTTTTGTCTGCCTTTGAAACCAGTTAAGTATTTAATGGAATAATTCTTTCAGCTGAATTTTCACCCACACTTAATGTATCGCAAAACTTTACAATTGCATATACTTTTTAGGACTATTCCGAAATATTGGTACTATCGACCTGGTTCGGTTAACTTGGAAGGTGAGTTATATAATGCCTGAATTAACTCATCAAGATTTCGTTTATTTAGATGTTTGTTAAGGATCACCTATTACACAAAGCGTGTATTTTTAATATACAAATGAAGAAATAATCTTTACGGAACATCTTTGCGTTCGTGACCCACGATGTGTTCATCATTGTGTTTACTGTAGGTACAGGACAAGAATAAAATCAATTGTTTGGGTAATTTTCAGTATAGCAGCCATTATTAAGTTTGCCTAAAGTTATAACTTGCATTTAAAGTTACTATTTATTGTTTTGTACTCAAATCGTCTTGTAATCCCTTGCTAATATAATTAATTTATTATAAAGTTATAACAAATAATACAACTTGAATATTTCTAAGAAAAGAGATTTAATGTTCTAGTTGTAAACATATTAGTACACAATCCACAGAAAAATGACGTTTATTTATAAAATTCATATTCGCTCTCATCTTTCTTGATGTTATTCTTGTAACCCTTTTCGAAATCTTTAGGAAGTACAATGTATCTGAAAAAAGGACAAAGATTTTAGTATCATTCACATAACTATTTCGAAGATTCCAACGATTATTAAAACTGAGAGAGTTAATGATCGAAACTATAAAAACCGAAGTTTTTTATAAATATTATTTTAATAAAATATTAAGGGATACAGTTTACACCTTTTTTTTACCTTCCTGTTTGCTGGTAGCCTAAGAGGCTATTCTAGTTACGTCCGGACTGGTAGGTAAGCTCACAGGCTAAACCTGAGAGAATTTGCTAACACTTGCCCTAGCAAGAGGGCTGAGTGGGCTGAGTCTATGGGTTTGTTTTCCAATAGCCAAAGCTATGCACATTAATATGGTTTTGCTGAGTGCACATACTATTTAGATTGCAATCCAGATTAGATCTAGGTACTACTTGTACGATTTAGCTAATATGTACTGTAATGATTGTAATTTGTTTTGTGCATCAATAAATAAAAAAAATAAAAAAACTCTCTTTGAACTCTTCGTCGTAATCGACGAGTTAAAAACAAAAAAAACCACCGAGAGTTAATCCAACAAGACATGTTTCGGGCGACGGCGGGCCTTGCGTTGTCCCGTCGCGGTCGGATAAGGATAGTTACCTGTTTTCCCTGACAGCGTGCATGCCGGCCTCCTGACAGATGGCGTTGATGTCGGCGCCGGACACGCGGTCCGGTCGAGCCACGAACTCTTCCAAATCCACTTCATCCGAAAGGTTCATCTTGGTAGTGATTGTCGAGAAAATCAAACGTTTTTGACGCCTAGAACAACAGTCAGAATTCAATGTTTGTAGCGGCAATTGAAGAGTCAACCACAAATGGCTAGTCGTATGACCACAATTTGTGTCTGTTTCATACCTAATCACTACATAGTATAAAAGTCGCTGTCTCTGTCCCTATGTATGCTTAAATCTTTAAAACTACGCCACAGATTTTGATGCGGTTTTTTTAATAGATAGAGTGATTGAAGAGGAAGGTTCATATGTATAATAACATCCATTAAATAGTGGAAACATTTCTCGCGTTACCCTGAGAGTGGAGGAACTTGGGAGTATTGAATTTATACTCTGTTGTATGCAATTAAAATCACTTTCATCACATTCACTAGGTGTATTTTCTTTGTAAGGCCTAGTTTGTTGTAACTATAATAAAATAAATAATAATTTAAAAAAACTTAAAAATACGCTTTTATAGAAAATCCAACTAAAAAATAGAAAATAAATTTTAATAAATTTTAATTAAAATTAGTGTAAGAAAAAAATATTTTATTGTAAAAAAGTGTTTTGGATTAAAAGCGTATTTTTATAGTAGTTTTTTTAAACTACATATTATTAATTTTTTATTTTTTGGTTGAATTTCAATTTTTTCAATATTTATTTTTAAATACTGAATTGTCATCGGTCCTTAAAAAGTATGCCAAATTTCGAGTTAATCCTACGTTTTAAAGGGGGTCAAAATCATGTTCAAAGATTCCGTTACATACTAATACATATACATATTCAAATTTCAATACATACGTCTGAAGTTAATAAAAGCGTATTAAAAAGCGCTGCCTATTAACGCCTTTTGTAACGCCTATGAGGACTTAAGATTCCGACTAACCTATCAGGAAGGGGAAACTCGATTTTCCTGTCGAGACGGCCAGGTCTTAGCAACGCAGGGTCCAATGTATCAGCACGATTTGTCGCCATTATTACCTGTAATAAATAATCGATACATAAACGATAAAGTAGACAGTATGATCCATGCATTTATGTTGGAAATTACAAAGCATATTTTCTTACTTTAACATTAGTAGTTTGATCAAAACCATCCATTTGGTTGAGGAGTTCAAGTAAAATCCTTTGAACTTCTCTGTCGGCACCAGTTTGGGCGTCAAATCTACAAAAAAAAAGTATATGTATATAGTATAGTATAATAGAGATAAGTGCTAATAAATGAAACAGATGGTTATAAATATTAATAAGTAAAGCTCAACGGATGCCTAGTTTTAGGTGCATATGGTATACAGTGGAATGCTGCACCCTAAGCCGACTGTTCGCGGGTCAGAGACCGCGACCGAACCTCCGAGCTGTGTGCTCTGCCAGAAGCAGGGCCACACAGCCAACTACCGCGGATGCCCCAAGGCCCCGCGGAAGCGTCTGGCCAACGCGCCTCCAAAAACCGTCGGCCCAAAGACTTCGGCGCCCCGTGCGCCGAAGCCTGCCTTCGTGCCGGCACCGGTGCCCACCGTCTCCGCGTGGGCAAAACCGCTGCNTCGCCGGATCTTCTCAGTGGGTCGCGTTTCCGATCCGGTGGTAGATTCTGCGAAGCACGACTCTTGCTAGGGTTCGTGTTAGCAACATCGTCAGGTTTGAGCCCCGTGAGCTCACCTACTAAAGTTAGGGTTACGCTGAAATAGCCGCTAGGGCTATCAGCTTAGGTAGGAAAAAAAAAAAAAAAAAAAAAAAAAAATGCACCCTAAATATCTATTTTACTATTCAAATCGAGATGCATCATAGGTTCTTTACAGAAATACAAGTCCTTCCAGTATATATATCGAATTTTTGAAAACGGTTTAATTATTATTTTCATATTGGAACGATTAATTACCTTTTAGTAGCAATAGCATCAATTTCATCAATGAAAATGATTGCTGGGCTATTCTCTTTGGCAAGACGGAAAACGTCACGCACCATACGGGGTCCTTCTCCTAAGTACTTCTGTACAAACTCTGATCCGACGACACGAATGAATGCAGCTATAACAAAACAAAAATGCAATTTTATACTTTAGGGTGCTTTACACAAGCAGAGGTACCTCTTGAAATAAAACCAGACAGATGAGAAGATATTAAGAAGAAATGTTATTGCAATACATAAATTAACATTACTAGCCTATTTGCCTTTATCCTCATGAAATACATCAATAAGGTAATAATCAAGTAGATTTATCAATAGCAAATAGACATTTGAAGTACTCTTTTATGACATACCTCAAGAAGTTGCAAGTCTTGAGACAATAAAATATTCTGTTCATGTAACATTTCAGAATTGACTTAGTGTGTGTGTAGAAATGAGTCATCTGACTCAAGCATTAGAGTTCAAATATAAGCTAAATTGTATAAAAACCATTTAATAAATGCTTGTAAACATTTGCTAGTAAGCATTTGTAATTTAATTTTAATTAACAGTTATTCAAGTTTAGACAAATTTCTTTAATTCAAAATGTGTACTGAAAATTTCATATTTCTAATATTATACCTGTAGTGTGATGTGCTACAGCTTTAGCCAGCATAGTTTTGCCACAACCTGGTGGTCCGTACATGAGCACACCCCGAGGAGGCTCAATACCAATTTGCCGGTACAACTCCACATGAGTGAGAGGGAGTTCAACAGCTTCTCTAATTTCTTGTTTTTGTGTATCCATGCCTCCAATATCCGAATATTGAACATCGGGTTTCTCATCTAAAAGAGTAAATTACTTTTTGAGTGTAATCATCAAAGACTTTCAAAGTCGACGTGGCCTAATGGATAAGACGTCGGGTGCATACGTGTTGAGGCGATGCACCGATTTTCGAATCTCAGGCGGGTAACAATTTTTCTAATGAAATACGTACTCAACAATTGTTCACGATTGACTTCCACGGTGAAGGAATGACATCGTGTAATAAAAATCAAACCCGCAAAATAATAATTTCTGTAATTAGTGGTGGTAGGACCTCTTGTGAGTCCGTACGAGTAGGTACCACCACCCTGCCTATTTCTGCCGTGAAGCAGTAATGCGTTTCGGTTTGAAGGGTGGCGCAGCCGTTAAAACTATACTTGAGACCTTAGTAGATCCTTAGTAGAGATAATACATACCAGCTTGCAACATAGAGATTGAGCTGTCAGCTTCAGGAGGCAAGACGTCAACTAGAGCATTAGAATGCTTATGCAGAGCAACTGAAGCAGATGGCTTCAACAACTCTCTATCAATTGTTGAGAGAATACGGACATAATAATTTGAGCCAGTGGTGCTGCCAACTGAAATAACAAAATAAAATATGTTTTATTCTGAAAGCGGGTATAAGTGATGTAAACTGCAAATAGAACATAAGTATTGGAAATGCCAACAAACTAATACCAAGATCAAAAATATACCATTTTTAATTGCAAGAATGTTGTCACAAAAAATGTCATTGGAAGTGTGTACTTATGACTTTATTTGTAGAGAAGTTTTCAATATTTGTTTGACATTTTTCACCACTTTAAATAATGTGCACTGCAAAGTCCAGTCCTTGCCAGCATTACAAATAATAATGTAAATAAAAAGTAATATTAGGAAGATAGAATAAATTGATTGTAAAATGTAATTTAGTATTTTTTTCCGTTTTAGAATTCTAGATATAATTATAACGACTTCCATAGTTTCATCTCGCATTTTTTACAGTCAATTTATTAAGTTTCATATACTTTTCAATATTCATGGTGATACACAGACAATGGTAATTTATATTATTAAATAAATGAACCATTTACCTATGCCTGTATTTTGATCAACTGCCTCAAGAAACTGTCCAATGACAAGAGGAACAGACTGTATGCGCTTTACTTCTTCCTGTGCATGCAAATATTCTTTCTTCAAGTTTCGTTGTTCATCCTTAATGTACTCTTCTTGTACTTCTAAGAACTCTAACATTCTTTGGAGTTTCTGTTAAATTTACATAAAAGTTAATATTTATTGTCTCTTTGTCTATTGCACAATACACTAAAGACAATATGTATTGTGTATTGAAGATTGAAAGTTGTGATTTAGTTTTTTTTATCTACCTATAGCCTCAAGGGACTATTCTGGCTTCACCTGATGTGTAAAGAGCTCACAGCTCAGCCTAAGAGAATTTCCTAACAAGAGCAGTGCTTCTCTGGATCTACCACTGGATCACAATTGTGACCCACTAGTGAGAAACTCAGTAGGTAACTACTACTAGTGACTAAAGAAAACCATGCAGTTTTTTCCTTAATGGGCTAATGGGCTCATGGCTATCTTGATGTTACTAGCACAAGATTTATTCTGGTTTGAACGGCAGGGCAGCCACTGTAGTATGGAACTGAGTCTTGGAACTGATGTCTCAAGGTGGGTGGCATCTCATACATTTACTTATTGGTGAAAATGCATAGTTTTAGTGGAGTTTTTATACTTGTTTCACTTACCTTGTACTTTGTGTATAAATCTTCAGATTCGAGTTCATCAAAAGATTGAGGACCAGCAAACGCCAAGCCTTTTGAGTCTGTGATTTGGTCATCCTAAAAAGTTCAATATTATGTGTAAAGGTTGCGTTACAGTTATTCGATTAGTAGCCTTTTTTTGAATACTTACTTTCTCGGGTAAAATAATTCCAATCTCTTCCATTGTTTCTATAGCTAAGAGATTTCGTGTACTATCTGATTATTATTTGACTATCTGAAATGTGTTTTACACAGAGACAAAGTGTAGTAGACGATCAAACCTGAACATTCGTACCTAGTTATTATTTGGTTATTTTAATTTTTTCTGTAAAACTGCAATTCAATGATTTTTGACATTTCGTAGCGCAAACTTTTTAAGATGTGTAGTTTGTTCTTAGTTGATAGGCAAAGGAAATGTAGCCATATGACTCTAATAGCTTTTTTTAAATGAAATGGTTAAATAATTATTTCGTGTTTCATTAGAATGAAGTCAACGCTTTCAAATGTAAAAGTGAAATTAAATAGAATGAAATAAACCAAAATTGGAAATGACTCTGAAACAAAAAAAATCAATAAAATGACATAGGTACCTGAGTTAATTACAAACTGCAATGGAAGCTCTGGAAAATACATAAGAAGTTATGTCAGGCCATTTTGTTCTAATTATTGACATTGTGCATATTGACAAAAATTAAATGAGTCAAGCATACGAATGCATGCAATCTTCCAAGATCAACTTTCAATTTTTATAAAGTTGGAAACGCGAAACGTATAAAATGGGTCGGCGCGGCACCGCGGCGGTCCGGATGCAGACCGCACTCTGCCCACAGATTGGTTTAATAGTTACTACGTGTCTGTTTAAGGTCAAGTCATAGTCAAGTCAAATAGTGAATTCATAATCTTAATATTTGGCTTTTTTAGTCTGCACATTCGCTATACCTTTGCCTGTCAAATGGTTCAACAAAATAAAAAAGGCTTCTAATCTAACCTAAAACTGAAACATTACAATAATTCATAAAAATATTATATAAATATTTAGATTTAATATAAATATTGTAAAAATACTAAACAATCACACTGTTCTAAACTTTTCTTGAAGATATACAGAAATGGCGACCCCTGAAATGATGAGTGAAATTGATCAAATTAAAACTGTAAATATTTAGTATTTTCACGAAATAATTTGTTAAATAATGTTATTTCTGAATTATTCCACTTATTTAAAAATATAATTTAATTTCTTAAATTCTTTAACATTTCTCCAATAATTATCATCTATATGCCGGTACATTTTGTTTAGTGTTTTCAAATTTCAGTAGATAATTTAATTTTTTTCAAATTTCATTTCAGTTCAAGGATTTCCTTGTACAATACAACAAGCTGTCTGAACTTTGTTTCAATGATTGCATTCATGATTTTACGTCGAGGACTTTAAAATCTACCGAGGTAAGGAAAAGCTCGATTAATTAACCATATTTTCGTCTGTTACTTTGCCCCCGTGTAACGCTCTTTTATGTGTGTTCCACGGTGGCATGAAATGTAGCTTAATTCTTAGAGGAATATAAGCTTATTACTTTCCCTGATATAATACTATTTTCTGTGAATTTTCAAAATTAGTTCAGCAGTTATGTGTCAAAAATGAACACAGCAGTTACTTTCATGTTAATTACATCATTTGAAATATAAATTTCAATCACTTTTAAAAATACCATTTGCAGCATATGATTTTAATGTAAGAAACCTTATGTTCTGTTCCAAATCTGTAATCTGTCCATCTGTCTGTGAAAAACTGCATGTAAATGTATACAGTAGATCTGGAGCACTGAATATGGACAGCCAAATAGAGACTGGCAGAAAATAATTACAGAAACTGCTGGCTTCTATAATTCTTTATTTCATTTTTTTCTTTAATGTACAGAGTCACCAGATTCAGTGTTATCTCATGAATATTAATGAGTTTTTTCTTTATTCTCATTTTGTGGCATTTGTTGACAAATCGTTCATGTAATTATTATTTTTGGCTTTTATTACATTTGACAGGTGAGCATTGTATCCCTGTGATTATTAAAGCAGGATAGCAGTTAGTGGGAATATTAAATTAAAATGGGTGTTTTATTACATAAATGATAAATGATTGAAATGTGTTATCTTTTAGGACAAATGCACTGTCAACTGTATGGAGAAATATCTACGAATGAATCAGAGGGTTTCACAAAGATTCCATGAGTTCCAAATGCTTGCCAATGAAAACATGTTAGCATTAGCACAAAAATCTGGTAACCCTAGTTAAAAAGTATGGTATATTTGTGACTTATCTAGTCATTTTCTTTAAGGTGTAGTGAGAGAAAGCACACCCTATATAATGATATACTTGTGCAAATGTACAGTGTATGTCTAAATTGTTGTCAATAAAGTTCTGTTAGACAGATTCTTTGTTTTTCATTGCTTATCATTATTTTCAAATTCACTAATAGTGAATTACTGTCACACTTGGTTGTGTTATGTAAGATTATCATGAAAAAGTTCAATCCGTGTTTTTGATGAATTTATTCTAATTTTTGATAGTAAGTAATATGGAAATTCATTAATTTGCTAAATTGTAACTTTCATAGACTAATCATAATTATTAATTTCGAAATTCAAAATGGAAGTATGACATATTTATTTTTTGGTTCCAAAGCTGCCACTGCCTGCACCGTGGCATTGCTTCATGGATCTGATATCATTACCTATTTTATCATCATACTAATTGTTAGATTAGAAATCACCAGCTTTATCAGGAGCTGTTTTGCATATTTTATTTTTCTTTTTCCATTTTATTTTCTTTTTACCATGAAATCTTTTGAGTTAATTCATTTATAGACAGCGATGATCACTTTGTGAGGTCAGTGTGCTTAGCGTTATCAATAGCGAAAAAGTTAACTCAAATTTGTAGGCAGTTGGAACAGCGCCCCTAGCGGCAAACGTAGGCAAACGTTTCCAACTCCATACAAATTTGAGCTAACTTTTGAGTTATCGAGAACGTTAAAAATCGCACGCAAGCAGTGTGCTTGTACTCCTTACTATAATAAGTTGAAAGGTACCTTTATGTATTGTATATATTTTAGTATTATAAGTAAACAAAAAGGAAAATTGTTAGGTGGTAAAAATAAGAGAAAAAATATGTTTGTACTTCTTCTTCGTCGCTTTCATTTCTGAAGGTCGTGTCCCTGAAACTTGACCGTTGCCTGTCTCGTGAGCTGTTTCCATCTCGTCCGGTCCTCAGCTGCTCGAATGGCGGTTGCGACTGGCAACCCAGTTAGAGCGGTTACTTGATCACACCAACGGCTAGGTAATCGGCCGCGGGGTCTCTTTCCTTCTACTTTTTTTACTTTGTTTGTTCTAATCAATGTATTAAAACACATACAACTTGTTTCAATCTTTATTTCGGACATGGCTTAAAGCATCTTTGTTCGGGGGGCGAAAAGTCTAAAACGAAGGAAGACTGGGAGCTAGTGTAATCAAAATGGTAATCATTAAATTTAGCCTCTACGCTATACTTTGCGTTCGCTGTTGGTCCTTCATCGGGATCTGTGTTCAGGACGTACTTTAGTGGGTATGGACCAGACGGAGCGTTGTTGACATTGGACGGTTTTGTACATATTGTATATTGTCCTTCGTGTCTTATTATTCTAAGGATTGGCTGTGTAGCCGCAGGCTGTTTGCAGCATGATGGTGAGGATGGACATAGAGCTAGGCATTTCGGAGGCATGCAGCATGGCTTTGAACAAAAGGGGCGTGAACAGCTAGAAGGGCAAGGAGTGCAACTGCCCATTCTCATAGAATTATGTTGTTCAATCTTCCGGAGTACAGAACAAGATACATGTCCCGGGCGCCAACCGCATCGTAACTGCAAAAGTAAAGGCTATTAGTAAAATAAATACTCGTACAGTAATTTATTTATTTCATTTATTTCAGATTTTGCATGTATATTACATTCATTAATATTTCATATAGTATACCAGTATACGCAATAAAACAAAAGCAATAATAATAAAACAAAAAAACAAAATTAACGTCAAAACTACCTTAATCTAAACTCTAAAGGCTGGTTTGGATCCAGAGTGCTCAACATGCACACTTGTCCAGTGTTGGGTATTATTGGGTAGTCCAGATCCATCCGCGAGGCGAACAGCCGCAGGTAGCTGCTGCGACTGACCCGCATGCGGCGAATTAGGGAAGCAATTCGTTTACAATTCATTGTTGCGAAGCTATTAATTCGCGCATCCGCAAACATCCCCGATTTAGTGGTAGTTATACGGCTTTGAACCATTGGCCTGGTTATTGGTGTCACCAGACTATTATGCTTTATGTGCGCTCTATTTCCTTTCCCGATTTGAATGAAGCTAAAAAAGTCCTAATTTCTATTTAGAATGTTAACTAAAAAGAAGTTATTGTAAAAACAATGGTAACCTGATGTTCAGGTGAATTTTTGGCCGTATACAACCAACCCATGTGTTTGGGCACAGGTCCAGGTTTTACCTCGCGTCTCTCTAAACATCTGTGCTTTGGCAGATCACACCGTCCTAAACAACTTGTTGATGATTTATTCGCTGTAATAATATACAACATTTAAAGAAAAAAATACACATTAAAGTGTGCATGTAATGTCAGTATTGTTACATAATGTAATAAAATCAAACATTTTTATATTTATAATTTGAGTGCATTGTAATTTTGCGTTGACAAAATTTAATATTCTAATGATCTATTCTAATTAAACTATCACACCACACACTGCCAGTGGCTGTTGCTGAACTATATTGAGATCTGATGTCTAAGTCTCCTCACTCTCAAACCGAATTACCTACATGATTGTTTCAATTCAGAAATAGGCAGGATTTGTGGTACCTTCGTCTGTCCCGCCTAACCTATACAGGATGACAAAATATCTCACCAGCAGATCTTAAGATAGGAATTAGGGTGTAGGTCGGATATTAGCAATATGGATTGAAGCAGTAGTTACAGCCCGAAGATGCCGACCTTCGAATCTTCTGTTTTTATTAGATTTATAGAATTATCTCGTGGGATGGCTTCGTAAATCCGAAGCCTACGGTCGGTATTGGTTATTACGTTATATAGATGCTGAAGTTGCATACAAATTTTTGGTTTTAGCATATTCGCATATAATATTATAGGTATCGCAATTTTCGTCTAAACCATTCCGCATACAGTGCCGAATTTTAGAACCACACTTATTCAACGCTAGGGGTAGCATGGGCTTTTAACCCTCTTATCGTGGCCACCGCTAACTATACCTATATCCTGCCTATATCCGACCCAGGCCACGGAGCGAAGCAAAGCCGCCGGCGCCCAAAATATATTTTGTCGGATTCGCCGGATCTACTTTTGGTGCATTTAGGCTCTTCAAGCACCGCTCCTCCGGACTCCGACGAGTTCGACGTCCGAACTAGCCCATAGACAACCCACTAAGTTTCTCGCCGGGTCTTCTCAGTGATTCCAACCCGGTAGTAGATTTAGCGCAGCAGTGCTCTTGCTAGGGGCTAGTGTTAGCAATTTTCTCAGGTTGAGCCCCTGAGCTCACCTACTAGCAATACCGTCTTTACCATAAGGGCACACGGGGCCCGTGCCCAGGGCCCCCATTCTTAGGGGGGCCCTAAGGACCGACAATTTCTCTCACACGGTTTCCGTTATCGTAATCGTAACCAAAAAACCAGCAGCATTCTAATATCATTAATGACATATTATATCATACCGTATTTGATTACCTATAATAAATGGTCATACTCAGTAAAAATATGTTATTATAATTCGCTTTTTTTACTTTCCAAAAGGGCCTCAAATTCTTGTGTGCCCAAGGGCCCCAGCCTAATTTAAGACGTCCCTGCCTACCAGTCCGAGTGAAGTTGGAATAGCCCCTTAGGCTACCAACGATTAGGTAGAGGAAAAAACGCGCTCTTCTGCCTCGACTTACATATATGTAGATCGGGCATTGGCATTGTAAGGGAGAAGGGACAGGTTTTCCTATAAAAGTTAAAATTCAACAAAGTGACTGCTATATGCAAAGAAAATGCTTAGAACATATAAGAATCACTATTTAAACGGAATTATACTTGACAAAAATATGAAACTAATAACTCACATTTTCCGGGTTTACAGCAGCATGCCATTTTGTTGGGATGAATGATTTGCTAAAACATAACATAACTATATTTGAATTGAAATTATAATAATATTATTTAAACTCTGTTTGTTTCCTTCTAAGTTTTACATATTTTTTATTAACGAAGTACATAAAAATTTATATCAGAAATTAATTGAGTTGATGTTGAACTCACTTATGGGATTGTGGAAAATGTGTTGCAAATAAAGCGGATCTGTCAGGACATTTTTCTTTGTTTTAAAGCAATTTATTGTTTAAAAATTAAATTTTGATTCATGTTGCTTGTTGTCCAATTTTTATTTGGCATTCGAATGTTTGACGGAGAAACATGTTTGATATTTATATTGTATTCTTCTTAAATCAACATAACCTACATGGTGGTCAACAACAACAACAACAGACCCAGTTTAACGACTGAAGTATGAAACCTATAAAGGTCAAAAAATATATAGTTCCATAAAGAATATAGTAGGAAAAAATATAGTTCCATAAAGAATGAGTTATAAAATGGTTTTCATCTCAAAAATAAGCATTTTATATTTGGTACTTAGTCGTTATGATCCAAAAAATAAGTCTACTGGCGTACTCGGATCGAGCGATGGGTTCAAATTCTACAATCAAGGAATATTTGTTATTGCTTAATTACTGTGTAATTAGGCCGTAATGTGAGCCTGCACGGGTACCTACATATTACCATACTGTCTATTTAATTTTCGGGTTCAAACGGCCGGGTATTCGATTTTCCCATGTCGTAAGTTTGGTGGTGACATTCACATTGTGATCTCTATAGGCTCGTGTGTCCACTTAACATCGCGTGGCTATGAGCACGTTCAACCATGAATGCAAAATAATAACAATAATTGGGTACTCAAAGCTTTCAAATTGTCCTCTTCTTTTGCATACTACATATGTAGTTATCGTCAAAAGACGACAGCATCCGCTTTACTATTTGCCTTGTATTAATAACAAGCAATCAGTGAGGATCTCGGTCAATGCTAAATTCCGGGCTTACAGTATCACAGTAATAATCTCACGGTGCAGCCACGCAGTCGTGGTAAAGATTTCAATATTTTTGTTTTGTGTGTGTTTATAGTAATATTATTTACATGGTATATTATTTAGGTATAGAAAATATACGAAATGAATTTCAGTCTACTGGGACTATTTGTATTCGTAAATCAATGTGTTAGTTATAAAATATTGGCTGTGTTTCCGTACAATGGAAGGAGTCACCACAATTTATTTTCGACTTTGGTTGAAGAGTTAGCTTTAAGAGACCATTCGGTTACAGTTGTGAATTATTTTCCAATGAAAAACATATCGAAATTAAGACAAATACCACTCGAGTACAAAGTGAGCGGAAGCGATGTTGTTGATATAGACGATACTCTAAAAAACCTTCCTGGTATATTGGTTAATTTTCATAAAGCTTTGGACACAGCGAGAGCTTTCAAGAATTTAGCTAACTCAAATTGTGATAAATTGATGTCCAACAAAGAAATACAAGAAATAATATCGTCGAAGACTAAATTTGATTTAGTGATAGTTGAGCAATTTGTGACGGACTGCGGTCTTGCTGTTGCCTTTAAGTTGAATGCACCCATTGTCGGTATAACTGCTCATATTTTGATGCCGTGGACTTATTCAAGGTTGGGTGCGCTCAATCACCCGGCATACGTTCCGAATCATTTCATTGGTAGCGGAACCAAGCCTGGCTTTTGGGATAAGATACAAAGTGCACTAATTAATATCGCTTTCAACATTTACTTTAAGTATGTAATTCAAAAAAGCGACCAAATGATAATCAATAGTGTTTTTGAAGATGTACCGGACTTGGATGAGATCGGAAAGAATATTTCATTGATTTTATTGAATCAGTATTTTCCTTTGACTGGATCTCGGTTATATGGAGCGAATGTTATTGAAGTTGGTGGTTTACATATCAAAGAAAATACAACTATAGATGATGAGGTTCGTTCATGTAGAAAATTAAATTTACTCACTTAGATTTACGAACAAGAATGTTGTTACAAGTATGTGGATATTACGAGTAATTACCGCTTTAAAATAATTAGAAAGTTATAAGAAAAATTTTAAAACAACAATTTTATTTAAAAGAAAGACTAATATTTATTATTTTATTAATTTTAAGTAACTTTTAAAATAAATAAACTAATAAAAGAGACTTCGACTCATGTCTTATGATGAGTTGTCAAACCTGTCGCTTGCGATTATGGATTTGGCGAGTAAATTAACTCATAGACAGCTCACTGAGTTTCTCGCTCGGATCTTCTCAGTGGGCCGCATTTCGATCCGATGGTGGATTCTGCGAAGCACTGCTCTTGCTAGGGCTAGTGTTAGCAACGTCCACAGGTTAGAGCCTCGTGAGCTCACCTACTCGTTCGATGAATCTAACTTGACCACTCGAGGTTACTAGAATAGGTAGGGGGAAAAATGAGTTATTATGCGGCGTTTACGTTCTAATCTCTATGCCCTTCTGTTACGAGGTCCCACCAGGTGGATTGTGAGCTTGTTCATATATTTAAGCAATAATAATACATCTTTGCAGGAAATTAAAAGCTTCATTGACAAGGCAGAAAGCGACGTCATTTACATTAGTTTTGGAACTGTTGCATCTAATTTTCCGGATAGAATAATTAAAGAAATAATAAATTTTATCACGAAAAGTTCCGTAAAGGTTCTATGGAAAATTGACAATGTTGGTAATTTGAATTTGCCGAAGAATGTTTTAATAAGAAAATGGTTTCCGCAGACTGCTGTTTTGTGTGAGTTTATCCTTAATCACACTTTAGGACAGAATCCAATCCAACGGAAACGAAATAGAATTTAATCAGATATATTTTTCATTTATTTATTGCTGCAATAGACAGACAGGTAAACGCTGACATTGGGCCGTTTTATTTGGGGCGGCGCTGTTCATGGTGACCTGGTCGATTGCTTGGTCCCGACCGGATGCTGGAGACAGAGGGGTTCGATGCTCTACTTACAAAACACGACCTCCGCGTCCGGGCAAGCCGCTTCTATGTCCACCGTTTTCAGTGGATGACCGTAACCCTCAGATACAACTCACTGAGTTTCTCGCCGGATCTTCTCACTGGTTCGCGTTTCCGATCCGGTGGTAGATTCTGTGAAGCACTGATTTTGCTAGGGTTAGTGTTAGCAAATTCCGAGCACCGTGAGCTCGTTGAATCTAGTATAATTCCTTGTGGTTACTAGAATAGGTAGCCTGCCTATTTCTGCCGTGAAGCAGTAATGTGTTTCGGCTTGAAGAGCAGCCGTTGTAACTATACTTGAGACCTTAGATCTTATATCTCAAGGTGGGTGGCGCATTTACGTTGTAGATGTCTATGGGCTCCAGTAACAGCTTAACNAAATTCCGAGCACCGTGAGCTCGTTGAATCTAGTATAATTCCTTGTGGTTACTAGAATAGGTAGCCTGCCTATTTCTGCCGTGAAGCAGTAATGTGTTTCGGCTTGAAGAGCAGCCGTTGTAACTATACTTGAGACCTTAGATCTTATATCTCAAGGTGGGTGGCGCATTTACGTTGTAGATGTCTATGGGCTCCAGTAACAGCTTAACAACAGGTGGGCTGTGAGCTCGTCCACCCATCTAAGCATTAAAAAAAATGTAGGAAAAAGTCTTCCTGCCAAAAAAAAACACCCAAGTTGCTGAGAATTCCTTATAAAGTCCGTTTGAAGAAGAACGTGTTGTTCGGGATGAAGATGCAAAAATTATGACACACTTCAAACACTCTCTCGAGGAACGCAACGGTTCATGTGATAGGTTAAGATGATCTGGGCTCCGGTGGTGGGTAGTGGAATTGTTAAAAGGACATGATGAAATAATTACTCAGAGCATACGATAAAAAACGTATGAAAAATCCTATACAAAACATAGTGAGCACTAAATCTCTCAGTAGACCTAGAGGACACGTGCAACCAGGGTGTTTTGACAATTCGAATGGTTTTTTTTCTGGATTAATTGAAATGGAAGTAACGAGTATTTAGGGTCCCCGGCCTCCTCGGGCCCGCGGTCTGCTCCCAACACCTTGTAGATCGTCAAGGCCCGCATACCCCGCGCGCCCCTTAGGCGCGGGGACCTCGTAGGAAGTTCGGCCCCCTGCCCGAAAAAATAGGCCTAGAAATAGGAGCACCAGGCGTGAAGTACTGCTTCTCTGCGGAGGAATCCCAACATATTGGAAGCGAAATTAACTTTCTAAGTTACTCGGATACTGAACGCCTCCAAGAATCTCGATACCTACTATCGGAAAGTTTCAGAGTTATTCCTTGAAATCATTGCGCTATGACGAATGGGAACTACCTCGCAGTTAACGTGTAAACCTGTATCTTCGATGGGTTGAGTTGGATTAAGTTCTGTTAATATGAATGTGTGTGTGTTTATAATTAACCAATATCGATATAAGCAATACTTAACTATTATTAGAAATATCATAAATAAAAACATTAACAGGTCATCCAAAAGTGAAAGCATTTATCACACATTCTGGAATGTTAAGTTCAATTGAAGCTATGCATTGTGGGGTGCCAGTCATAAGCGTTCCGTTGTTCGGAGACCAATTCGCGAACGCAGCGGCAGCTACTGAAATTGGCTTGGGAGTTACCATTGATGTTTCCACAATGAATGAAAGAAAAATCAATCAAGCCCTAAAAACTGTGATGCAAGATTCGTAAGTTTATGACTTATGAATATTACTACTAACATTCATATGAACGTAATTTTTAGTAAGTGAAAATGAGAAATCAAATGATAGACAACAAATTTTCATCAGGTAGCAACTTGTTTTATTTACGATGTAGATGATACGATGATAAAATTATAATTTGCGTAATTCCTGGTGGTGTGGACTACACTTGTGAGTCCGCACGGGTAGGTACCACCACCCTGCCTATTTCTGCCGTGAAGCAGTAATGCGTTTCGGTTTGAAGGGTGGGGCAGCCGTTGTAACTATACTTTTTTTTTTTATTGCCTTTGTAGGCAGACGAGCATACGGCCCACCTGATGGTGAGTGGTTACCGTCGCCCATGGACTTCAGCAATGCCAAGGGCAGAGCCAAGCTGCTGCCTACCGCTAAACCTTAGAACTTAGAAGACCTTAGAACTTATATCTCAAGGTGGGTGGCGCATTTACGTTGTGGATGTCTATGGGCTCCAGTAACCACTTAACACCAAGTGGGCTGTGAGCTCGTCCACCCATCTAAGCAATAAAAAAAAATAAAAAAATGTTGTTTTCCTTATTGCAGTTATCAGATAAGGGCTCAAAATTTGTCTGCTTTGTGAAGAGATAGGCCCGTGTCACCTCTGAATTTAGCTATATTTTGGATTGAATACGTGATTCGGCACAAAGGTAATGTTGAACTGCGTCCTCCTACTGTTGATTTGGGATTTTACGAATTACTTATGTTGGATGTTTGTGGAATGGCTATTGGCATTTTAATATCGTTTTGTTTGTTTTTTTCTATTATTATCAGTTTGATACGATTTATTAGAAGACGACATATAAATCCAAATAAAACTAAAACCCAGTAACCGCCTTTATGAAAATTTCACAAATAAACTCAATTTTAATAACAATATTGAATAGAATTTTCTAAACTGTTTTATAGTACAGTTGTTATTAAATAATTTGGCATTTAAGTAATAATTTTTTTTTATTGCCTTTTTAGGCAGACGAGCATACTGCCTACCTGATGGTGAGTGGTTACCGTCGCCCATGGACTTCAGCAATGCCAAGGGCAGAGCCAAGCCGCTGCCTACCGCAAGATAAATACACAATGTTTGTTTCAATATGAGTATAATGAAAAATATTTACGATTTACCGTCATCATTAAAGCCTATGTGCGGGTGTTGTCTTCAACTAGGCACAGGCCTTAGTTCGGGTACCTGATTCGTTACAACGACATTCTTATTCAGGATTGATCAACAATCTTTGAGTGATCAATGATTCTGATGGCTAGCCATGCAAGGCACTCGTAGAAGGTCACCTCTACTAAATTCTTTTAATAATGTTCATTATTCTTTTAACGTACCTATTTTATTATATTTCATGAGTCGTAGATTGGATTAAAAGTGAAGATTTACTCTTTTGTTAATTATATTACTTTGATACAGCGTTGCAAGCATTTTGATTACAGTTCTTTGTGTTATACTATAAATTTAATATTTTCGGTACACTGTATGCTCGCCTTCTTTTTACATCCTGTATTTTTATTTAAAATAAAATATGTATTTCGAAAGCAATTCAAGTTTTCTTTGATTTCTTTTTACCGTTCGTTTTTTTTACAATTGGCGCGGAAGATTTTCTTGTACGTTTCAATGCGACGAATATAATAATAAGTGGTGTTAATAGCACTGCTATTACATCAAGCAGAATATATTGGTATAGAGGAGTGTCGGCTGCAGCCGTTCTAAAATTCNTTATTTAAAATAAAATATGTATTTCGAAAGCAATTCAAGTTTTCTTTGATTTCTTTTTACCGTTCGTTTTTTTTACAATTGGCGCGGAAGATTTTCTTGTACGTTTCAATGCGACGAATATAATAATAAGTGGTGTTAATAGCACTGCTATTACATCAAGCAGAATATATTGGTATAGAGGAGTGTCGGCTGCAGCCGTCCTGAAATTCAAATCTGGATTCCTGGCAACAAACTCGGTCCAGTAGATTGCTGTTTCTAAAGGGGGCATTGGTCGGTCGTGCCATGCTTTCGAGACTTTTTTCACCTTCTCACGGAATCTGAAACGAAAAAGATTAAATTGTAGTAGTCGTGGTCGTAAAGAGTAAGATGCCCGTTGCATTTCTATGGAGCTATGCGACTAAGCTGGTGTTCGAATTCCGCAGGTAGACATTAATTGTCCTTATGAAATACGTACTTAACACATGTTAACGAATGACTTCTACGATGGAGGAATAACATCGTGTAATAAAAATCAAACCCTCAAAATTATGATTTGCGTAATTACCGATGGTAGGACGTCTTGTGAGCCTAACAAACGAGTGGGAACCACCACAACCCTGTCTGTTTCTACTGTGAAGCAATAATGCGTTTTTTTTTATTTTTTTATTTCTTAGATGGGTGGACAGGCTCACAGCCCACCTGGTGTTAAGTGGTTACTGGAGCCCATGGACATCTACAACGTAAATGCGCCACCCACCTTGAGATATAAGTTCTAAGATCTCAGTATAGTGTAAGGTTTATGATTATTTATATTAATATGATTATATAGAGTGTAAGGTTTCTGATTATTTATATGATTATATAGAGTCCTGTACATATTAAGAATTATTATTAAATATGAGGTTTATATTGCAATCCATTAAAATATTGTTAAGTTATAAATCCAACAGTTGACAAATGTCGTCAATAGATGTCACAGGCCAACAAAATTACATCGCGGTAGCGTTGTGTGTAAAAATTAGTATAAGAAGTCCAAAGTAATTATGAATAAATCAAGAACCAAACGCATCAATGTACAACTAGCAAATTAAAGCAGAGTGTGAACAAAATTGGCCTGTTTAATTTATGTCTGACACCCAAAAATAGTTACAACGGCTGCCCCACCCTTCAAACCGAAACGCATTACTTCTTCACGGCAGAAATAGGCAGGGCGGTGGTACCTACTCGAAAATCGGTTTAAAGGGTGCGGCAGCTGCTGTACTGTAAAAATTAAGATTTAGGACTCGTATCTCCGGTAACCACTTAACACCAGATAAGCCGTGAGCTGGTCCACCCAACTATGTAATAAATAAAATGAAATCAAATTAAAGTTTATAGGAAGTGGTAGCCTTGGACGGATTTAGTTTAAGTATTTCAAATCTTGGGTCAAGTAGAAACGAAATACGAAATTACTAATATTTCGGGGCTTATTTGATAATTGAAATTTATTAGCCCGCACGGGTAGGTGTTGTCCTGCCTATTACTGCTGCAATGTAATCGTGCGATTCGGTTTAAAGAATCGTACAGTCATAATACCATCCTAATCATACCATCCCATTATAATGACATACCATGGTCATAATAATTGAGATTTCAACACCAAGCGATAAAGTGAATAACGGTATTCAGTTGTGACATATGTACTCTGGTAAACAGTTAATAAAGCGTAGGTCGTGAGCTCATTCACCCATCTAAGTAATAAAATGTTTGATTATCTAAGATTATATTATTTGCGTAATTACTGGTGGTAGGACCTCTTGTGAGTCCGCGCGGGTGGGTACCACCACCCTGCCTATTTCTGCCGTGAAGCAGTAATGCGTTTCGGTTTGAAGGGTGGGGCAGCCGTTGTAACTATACGTGAGACCATAGAACTTATATCTCAAGGTGGGTGGCGCATTTACGTTGTGGATGTCTATGGGCTCCAGTAACCACTTAACACCAGGTGGGCTGTGAGCTCGTCCACCCATCTCAGNAAAAAAAAAAAAAAAAAAAAGATATATAAATAAATAATAACCGGAAACAAGTCGCAGACGATCATCTGGTCCCAAACTAAGATTCTGTGTGTTATGGGTATCAGAGACTGATATACATACTTAAACACATCTATAAGTCTAAAGATATACTACGTATGAATAATAAATATTAAATACCAAGACAAAATGCAAAATAACCAAGAGAAATATTAATATTCGATTTCTGATAAAACTTAACAAATATTGCCTTACGTGGTGTTCAAAACAGTTTGGAACGCATTCAATAAGCTCTCAGTTGTTAAATCTCTGAATTGCAATTGAATTCCTAGACCGCTCTCTTCGACGTCCGCAGCATTAGCAGGCTGATCGCCCAAGAAAGGCATGGCCACTACTGGTACTCCAAAATGAATGGCCTCGGTAATTCCACCCATTCCCGCATGTGAGAGAAACGCCAAAGTTTTCGGGTGTCCTGAAATAATAAAGCAGTTAAGTTGTCGTTAATTATAAAGAGATATATGAAAACTGTGGTCAAAATTAGGTTACCACCGGTAACAGGATATATTGCTATACAAATAAACTGAGGCTGTTTAAATTGTTACTAGGGCGGTTATATGGGTGTGTTTTATTCATTCAGTTTCCCTTCGGATCTTCTCAGTGAGTCGCGTTTCCGTTCCGGTAGATTCAGCTATGCACTGCTCTAGCTAAGGTCAGTGTTGGTAATTCTCTCAGGCGGAATCTGTGAGCTTAACTACCGTTCAGCTACCGTGAGTTGGAATAGCCCCATAGGCTTTCAACGATTAGGCAGGGAACAAAAGTGCGTTCTGCACGTCTTTTAACGCGTAACTAATAATTTGGGTCAAGGCGGAACCTGTGAGCTCAGCTACCGTTCAGCTACCTTGAGTTGGAATAGCCCCATAGGCTTTCAACGATTAGGCAGGGAACAAAAGTGCTATTAAAGGCGCTGTGTGGATAGTAGATCGACGACCTATTGAAGGTCGCGAGAATCCGGTGATTGCGGGTGGAGTGGTCGTATGTAGGCCGATGATCAAAGTGAGGTTATAATAAACTACTGTAGCTCACCCAAAATATCAACTTGCGGCAGCCAATGAGACACATATAACTTGTTTTTATCAACTATTAATGATTTGTCTTCCCATTTCCATATGAATCTCTGCGGCATTCTTTTCATAACTTCCAAAATAGCTTCTACTTTATCCGTTGTCATAGTTGAGCTCTTGATAACAGAACCAAAACTTATGAATATAATTCCATGTTCAGCTTCATCAACGAATTTTTTCAAATCCTGGAATTCAGATAGTAACGTACCTATGTATATAAAAACATTTTTTGTTGGATAGGTAGGAAATGTTATACTGAATCTATAAAAAATGTGTCTAATGTCTTAATAAATACTAACGACTTTTAACAAATGCGACAATTTAAAATTTAAGTTCGCGAGTCATAGATATCATTAAAAAGCTTTTACGGTTCTATATACCTTTTCTTATTTCGTAATATATTTATGAGGATAAAAATAAAAACATTTCAAATTGAATACAAGTTTCTACGGATGATTTTGAGATATTATTTTGGATTTGATATATGGTTTAGGATTTTAGATGAACATTAAAACAAATCATGTAATATTATTAATACTCACATTAGTTAAAGGATTGGCGTTGCTAACGTGATAACCGCCGACTTCAATCACATTGGATGGGAACAGCCTTGACCCGGTTAAAATGAAGTTGTGATACAATAGATGAAATTTCATGTTCCTAGCCAGTTCTTCTAGCGGAGGGATGTCGTCAAAATATTCAGCCAGTGTGTTTTGATCACTCCGCTGGCTTACAAAGTAATAAAACGTTCTAAAGAAGAAGTCAAAAAACAATCTCTCGACTCGGTGAAAGAGAGATGGCTTAGTTCCCCCCTCCAGGAAATGGAAGGGCACGTATGATGGGTTGTAGGGGATGCCTAATCTCTTATAGTGATAAGGCATTAGTATGTGTGAGGACATTCCGATCGCTGGAGCACCTAGTTTATAAGCTACACCTAACGCACAATCACTGTTGAACTGTTCGACAACAACCACATCAAACTTTTGCTTACTTTTGATCAGTTCTTGCACTTGTTTATTAGCTAACATTACTTGACAGTTTTCTTTACCAGAAATTGCGAGGTAGAAAGCGGCACTGAATACAGACCAGTAAGAATTCCGAACGGATTGGTTGTCTTCCGTTATTTTGATTGTTCCCGCCAGACTGATGTCGTGGTAGTTTGCCGGTGGATCTTGTTCGGGAAAATGTGAAATAATAGTAACATTGTGGCCCCGCTTAGCCAATTCGCGTAAGTAAACTCTGAATACGAAAAAATGGCTCTTCCCCTGGTACGGATATATTCCAAGTATATTGAGCCCGTCTGTATAGCATGTAATGAGAAGTAGTAATAAATAAATCAGTTTCATTATTTAAAATTGTCGGCCACGCGAGAGCCGCTCGACTTATAGGCAGTTAGCGGAAATACTGACAACATTGGACCGGTTGATCGGTCACGTTCTGCCTTAAGTATGACGTAAGGAGCAATCCTATTTATATTTTAGTCTCAACACTACACAACGGCGTCTTCAACCAATTTGATGAGTTTTAATATTCTTATCAATGTAGATGGGCACGAGTTCAAGGCTCTCCTCATATTAAATGGCTATCTTAGTCCATGGACAACAATGTGAATGACATCGCGTAATTAAAAGTTTCTCTGTACGAGTATTTAATATTGACCAGCCATGATCTAAAAAATGGGAGATAATAATAATTGACATAATTTTGAGTACGAGCAATGCGATGTTTGAGTGTAACTCAGATTACAGTTTGTTTGTTGACAAAGTCGAATACTAGAAGTAAATTAAAAACAACAAAAACAGAAGACGAAGCTTTTAAAAGTATTTTAAAACTAAAAGATTCGATTTGATGTTGGTCGTATTATTACCTAATCATGAGGGTTTAAATTTTTTTAGAAATTTTTGCGAAGAAAGTTCCTCGGTGGACTGCTTATCTTATAGCATAGAAGCCAGGAAAGAATTTTCCGATAGCAAGAAAAACAACGACTTTGTAAGAAATTTCGGTATCATAAAAAATACAGCAAAGCTTTACGTAAAAATAAATGAAGAGAATGTAAAGCTCGCTGTGAATGCATCTAAACAAGCAGGAATAGAACTGGGACCTCGGTATATAAATATAGAAATAGAGACACGAATTCTTATTTATAAAAGAAATTTTAATCTACGTATATTTAGCCGACTTATAATTTTTTTTTCAGAATGGTTACCGACTGCATTTATTGAACTTTAATACATCTCGATATGTTTTAACTGTTTTCAGAAACCTCGGAAGCCCAACGCGGCCTTTTAAATTAACTTATTATTATTTATTTACTTCTTACTCATAAATATTATTAAAATTTAATATACATTTTTTGTTATGAGTGTAAAAGAATAGATGGCTTAGATACAGAGTCAAAAATATAGTTAAATAGTTCCTGTCGTGGTACTATCCGACTATTCAATACTAAGAAACGCAGTCTGAACACGTAACACGTTCATTCACACTGATTTTATACAAGGATAAAATGTATACTTATCAGCAGAAGACGATAATAGTGAAGTGTTTACGACATATGGGATCCCTACTGATATGGTTCACGTTGCGATATCAGCTAATTAATATCTAGGCGTCTGCATGGCGGAAGTAGCGCAGACGTCTGGCAGTACCCGGATACAAAGATATTAATCATAAATAATGTGAATTATTATTTTTCGAGCAGGAAAATATCCACAGACTTTATAATCACATAGAGTCATAATCACATAGAGTGAGTTATAGGAGTTCTATTGCTATTGTTGGAGTTCTGAGGGCTCCCGTGGTTCAGCACGCTAGATACTATGTTGTCCTTGGAGCTCTCTTGCACGTTTCCAAATCTGTTCTTGGCTACCGCACTGTGACTCCGTACCAAATTATCAGTTCATCTATTCTGTTTTAATCCCCAAAATTTCCAAAAAGTTCTTCGATTTATGAAGAAAACCATCTGTACCTTACCTGTGTTATAGACATGGTTCATATGCGATTCCCAGATCAGTAACTCTATCGAATATCACACAAGAAATTACATTTAATCATCAACAACACATGATAGGTTACAGCGTTAGAAACAAAGATAGTTTTGCTGATCACTAGTGCAAGTCATGCTTTGTTGTACCACTCGCTAAACGTGCGAAATATAAAACGATTCGCGCGTCAACTAAATGATCATCAATTATTTAATGCCTAAACTTGTTCGATGAATGACGCGCGAACACACAGAACACGAACAAACTAACAAGCCGTAAATATTCATTTCAATATGGTCTGTACAAACTGCTGTTTCAAATTCTAAACGAAAGCACAGTCCTATCTGTCCATCCTGTCAGATTTAATTGGTTATTGGTGGCAGGACCTCTTTGGAGTCCGCACGGGTAGTTATCACCACCCCGCCTATTTCCGCCGTGAAGCAGTAATGCGTTTCGGTTCGAAGGGTGGGGTAGCCGTTGTGACTATACTGAGAACTTAGAACTTATATCTCAAGGTGGGTGGCGCATTTACATTGTAAATGTCTATGAGCTCCAGTAACCAATTAACATTAGGTGGGCTGTGAGCTCGTCCATCCATCTAAGCAATAAATAAATAAAAACTTACTAATTGTAAAATAAATAAAGCAAAGCGCCAAGTGGTGAACGGCCAGAGAATTTAAATTAAATACGTTTGTTAATCAATAGTGTGAGCCACGATTGATTAACAGATGGCATAGTATCTTCACGTGAGCCGATACAAAAATATGTACATATAAGATGGAAGTTATGGGAGGGATGAGTTGAGGGAAGACGTACTATTTGTGGGAAGTAAAAAGTACAAAGGAATGGTTAAATACCGGTACCTGACTGCACTGTAACAGACACCAATGATAGGCAAGAGGAGATTCATATACTGGCACAAGATGCCCTAAGATGGAGCTTAGCTCTATATTCGGTTCTCTTTTCGAAGCTACTGAGCAGACACAGCAAGTTTCTGATATATAAGACCATAGTTAGACCAATCTTATTTTATGGGAGCGTAATTTGGACGCTTACACATAAAGAAGAGACAAAACTCCTCATATCTGAGCGACGTTGAAACTAAAAAATGAAAAATTAATTTATTGTAAAAAAAGCGTGGGGTGCTTTTTAAGATATTATCCAAATAATAAGACACCGCGCAGCATAAGCTTTTTTACAATAAATTTATTGTCTATTTTTTTGTTGGATTTTCTATAAAAGCGTGTTTTTAACATTACGTATCATAAATTACATTCAGGCAAATACAAGAGTTTCCAATTTGCTAATTAAAAAAAGAAGGCGCTCAATTGAATTTGTTGTTTTGACTGCCGAAAGTAAATAACGAGTCTGTTTTTAATATATTGAATTGCTTTTTTTATTACATCTAAGGATGGGTGGACGAGCTCACAACCCACCTGGTGTTAAGAGGTTACTGGAGCCTAAGACACCTACAACGTAAATGCGCCACCCACCTTGAGATATAAGTTCTAAGATCTCAGTATAGTTACAACGGCTGCCCTACCCTTCAAACCGAAATGCATTACTGCTTCACGGCAGAAATAGGCAGAGCGATGGTACTCGATAGGGTATCGGTCCTTGTTAAGTACCTATGCCAAATTTCGAGTTATTCCGACTTTTTGAAGATGGTCAAAATCATGTTTAATGATTCCGTGACATACTGACATAGATACTAAACTAACATAAGCATGAAACTAATAAAAGCGTATTAAATAACATTACGAGTACTAAATGTTAAGCTATGCAAATATCTGCTTAGCTCCTCAGAGGATAAAATTGATACGATATTATCATTGTAGTGGGCAGTTTGAGGAAATAATACCGTTTCAGCTTCTTAATTAATTGTTACCCATTAAAATTTATTTATGGTAGTTGAATTAGTTGATATTACAGATGTAAAAAATTTCTTCTTAATTTATTGATGATACTAATTTAGCTAGAATAGGTAAAAAATGGAATAGATATGGAATGGAATTAGAGAAGAGATAAAAAAGTTTAAAGTTTTTATTATTTTTATTTTATAACAAATATTATGGGCACAAAGTTTAAAATTTGGAGATTGCCGATTCGAATATTTGGATTGTGCCTATGCATGATTGTTTTCAATCAATATCATAATTGTTTGCAAAGTTGTTTTCTTAAACTACGTATATTTTGTTTATGATTTAATTTGGATTCTTCTTGCTGAATGACTGATGGCCAATTGATGGTCAAAAATGGCTGATTAAATAGAAATAGCAACTTAAATTAATTATTCTTTTGATAATTTTTTTCTCTCCACCTTTATGTGGGTAAGCACTAAATATAAACGGCGGCATTAAAAATAAATATAAACGGCAGGTACTTGATTTATGAAGAATAAGACTTATAAGTAGTTCTCGAAAAACTAGTTTTGTTTGAATTTCTTTGCAAGACGACCTAGTAACAATGTTATAATGTAATTAACTAGAAAACCAATACATATAACGATAGCCGTAAAGACAACAAACACGTCTAAATACAAATATTGGTGTAATGGTACATCAGCTGATCTACTTCGAAACGTGATATTGCTATACTTGGCTGCAAATTCCGTCCAGAAAATGGCGTTATCCATAGCTGAGATAGGACGATCTTTCCAGGCCATAGATATAAATTTCACTTTCTTCCTGAATCTGAAATAGAAAAAATTTGGAAATTAATGTAATAGCCAACCTTTAATTGGTCTATTTTTATTGGCAATGCAGATAGACATCAACAACTCTTGCTTTTACATGTTACGTCATAGATTATTTTCTTAAAGCAAATTTTGCTTTTTCATTCTTCATGGAAGTGAAGTAAGCATTTGTACGTTAAGTACATATTTAATTAAAACTCTAAACAACAAAACAAAATCCAAATCAGAGACTGTCGGGAACAATTGTACGGACAAATTTAATTTTTAAAAACTTTATGAACTCTTCATAAATCACATTACATGATTTGTATTCAAAATGATCGTTTAATAAATTTATAAGTATTTTAATGACTATTCCTAGATATGCGAAAGTTTCTGAGGTTATATTTCGCATTGCCTAATCATATAATAATAAGTAATTTGTCAACAAGACAGTATAAACAATTATGTTATAAAGAGTTACAAGGTTATATTTATATTCAGCTGTTGAACTTTTCCATATAAGCCTGGAGCGACTAATTGTTTCAGTTGTTTTTAAATAATACGAATAGGGAGAACAAGAAACATGAGAAGGTACATTGACTACACTATATTAAAGATCCAAATTCAACGGTCATCAGTAATAATGATATCGACGCTTGAAAGGCAAACGTGACTAAGCGACAGTGCGTGAACTTTACAGTAGACTAATTTGAAGTTGAAATACCTGAGAAAAATTCTATTATAACGAATTTAGCTGTAGTATTGAAATGATTTGAATAGACCTAGAAATATATATTTTTTGCGCATCGAATATGGTTATTGCCTATCATTTATGTACAAAGCAGTTATTGTCGCTTAGTCACGTTTGCCTTTCAAGCGTCGATATGTTCTCTTCCGTGATGGCTACAAGAAACATTCTCGAGAGAATAACGATATAAAATATGACTGTGTAAAATTCACACGCATTTAGAATGAATCTTTCAGAAGTGTCCTATCTCGTTTTTACGCACTTTAAATCTTGCAGGTCTATACATTCGTCTCTTTTTAGTATCGTTCTACGGTCGAGTTACAAAACTTTCTCTATTTCAATAAGTGCACTTCCCGAATGCAAATGATTTTCTAACAAGATTTAGCTTCGATTTAGTAGCCAAACTTTACTAATAACACTTGATTATCTTTTTAATATTGTAATAGATAGGTCAATGATCTCATAGCCCACACGGTGTTAAATGGTACAGCATCAGCCCACAGTCGGCCACTACTGGACATCCAATCCACACCACTGAGCCCGGCTTTAGATTTCCCTATACATTTCTTGTCGACCACCTTTCAAGAGTCTCACGTTACGATTGCGGCTGCGCGGTCTGTGTGCTTAGTGCGAGTTTCTTAACGTACTCGATAGCGTAAAAGTTAACCCAATATTGTATGCAGTTCGAACAGCGCCCCTAGCGGCAAACGTACGCAAATGATCCCATTCCATACAAATTTGAGCTAACTTAAAAGTTAAAAAACTCGCACTAAGCACATTCCTCTCAAGAACACGTCTGTTCCAGCGATCGTGGTTACTGGTGGTTACTGGCGCGCATACTTACTCAGGGTTTAAAATGGTCCGGAATTTTTCTAGCAGAACATCTTTGCTAAGTTCAGTGATTTGAATTTGGAGTCCAAGGCCACTTTCTTCGATAGCAGCGGCATTCCCAGGTTGGTCCCCAAAGACAGGCATGCCGATCACGGGTACACCATGGTAAATAGCTTCTGTGGTACCCAGTAGTCCACAGTGAGAGAAAAACGCCAGCACTTTCGTATGAGCTGTCAACAAATGGCAAGAGTACTTAATTAAAATTTTAATTTCATAACGAAACATAAATAGGAGGCAATATGTACTTTAATTTTTTTTCTTAGTTTTTAATTTGGTAGAATCTACTTGCCATTTTATTAATCAACTAGAATAACATTCGTATAAATATTAATTTTTGAAACTTTCAAAACAGAAAACCACTCAATATATTTGTTTGTATATATATGTTAATATTAATAAAAATGTTTACTAAAATCATAAATTAGAATCTAGATTCAGATTTAGATTAGATAGATATTGCTAAAATATTGATAATTTGCATTTTAAATATAAATCGTTTTTATTTTATGATTTTAGTGTTTTTTTTTCCAAAATACATATGTTTAATACATTGACACTAAATAAAGAGTTCATCTTAATAAATAAGTTAAACGTAAATGTCACTAAATGAAATCGAAATGTTGGTTAGTATTTTTTTATTTTTATTTATTGCTTAGGTGTGTGGACGAGCTCACAGCCCACCTGGTGTTAAGTGGTTACTGGAGCCCATAGACATCTACAACGTAAATGCGCCACCCACCTTGAGATATAAGTTCTGAGGTCTCAAGTATAGTTACAACGGCTGCCCCACCCTTCAAACCGAAACGCATTACTGCTTCACGGCAGAAATAGGCAGGGTGGTGGTACCTACCCGTATTCATTAGCGATCATATATTAGTAAGAATAAGAAAATTTTAAAAACAAGACATAGTTCAGAACAATTTATATTTATTTTATCTCGTAATGTATATAGCGAGTATGTTATGCATTATTCATTTGTTTGAGTAAATCTTCATTTGTCAAATACCTAATATATAAACAACCACACACCTTTCAGAATTTGATTAAAATATATTAAATTCATTAGGTCATTATAATTAAATTATTAGTCTTCATTTAGATTTTTATAAGTCTGTAAATGTTGTATTTACTTATTAGTTTAGCTTAGCTTACAGACCCACCTAAGATATCGTTTTGCGGTAGCCATTTTGAAAGCAGTATATTCTTCGGGTTTCCAGGTAACGATGCTTCATCCCATTTCCATATAACCCTTTGTGGTAACTCCGACAGAGCACCAATTATAGCCTCAAGCTTATCACGCGGAGTGGAACTGGCACGTAACATTGATCCAAAACTAATATAGATTACACCATGTTCGGATTCCTCAATAAATCTTTTCAAATCCTAAAATCAAACATTGAATTGATTACACATTTATTGTAGTTACTTTACGAACGTCATTTAATTAATTTCATATTAGAGTTCAAAGTATTTGCCGTTTTGTAATATGTATAAATTTTATACATTCGAATCGAACAGATCTATGTATTACCGTAAGTAAGAATTATTCACAATTTCTATATAGCATTTTTGTCATCTCGATAGAATCTAATTGTTTTTGCCTTTACAGTATAATCAGCATAACAAGACCACCAATGTGTCACCATAACTTTTCCGTAGGTAACCTTCGCAGGATTTTTTTTATTGCTTAGATCGGTGGACGAGCTCACAGCCCACCTGGTGTTAAGTGGTTACTGAAGCCCATAGACATCTACAACGTAAATGCGCCACCCACCTTGAGATATAAGTTTTAAGGTCTCAAGTATAGTTACAACGGCTGCCCCACCCTTCAAACCGCATTACAGGGTACTCGTATGTGACTTGTATTTTCGCAAAGAATGACTTTTCTTCTTACGTTTTTGTTTCATACTCTCTTAGTTTCTGAATTTATTCATTAAAATGCTACGTATTTTAAGGTCATTTGGTACCCATTTCATAAGATTTTGCATAAATTCAGTGCTAATGAATCAGTAACTTAATGAAATTACCATAAAATTAACTTTAAAGCATAATGTTTCTAATGTTAATTGTTAGGTATCGGAATGCATAAATTTTATTATAATAATATGATTGTTTAACGCAGTACCTGATCTTTCCCAAGTTGAAGCTAAGGTTCCAGTATGAAAGCTATTAAACTGAATCAGATTCTGCGTTATTCGCATTGATTTTTCTCGACAATATTGTGAGCTATGAATGCTACTTCAGAACCACGTCGGAAAGTCTTTAAGTATTTTTTTGGATTTTGGAATTTTCCATATTCAATTCAAGTCAAAGAGTATATAAAAGCAACGTTAAAAATATATTTCATGGTTTATTCAACATTTTAACATTTAAAAACTAACTATTGGATAACTTTCATATTGATTCAAAGTGGTCATTTTTATATCTAGCGATAAATAAAAGTCTGAAAAATCACCGAATAAAAAACTGAGTAAACATTTTTAATGCATAAATTGATAGAGAAATTGATATCATGCTGTCTGGGATTTTGTGTGCCTCATTATAATTTAAAAAAATACTTTTACGAACATATTTTCTAACACAAAATATTTGCATATCTAGCGTTGATTATCTTAATATACATTATCTTAAAATTCAACCGTTACATTGATAAACCTCAGATTCTATCTATCACAATCTGATAAGAGTTTTCAATGGTTAACTATACATTTTACGGTACTATTAAAATTTGATTCTTAGACATTATTTGAATGCGGTACAATATTTTAAGTTCTCTATCTTAATCCAGACGTAGTCTGCTTTTTACAAATTTGCTATGATTTTTTTATTGTATGCTTCTGTGGATTTATTAAAATGAGGCTTACTTATCAGATTTCAATTTTCTTGGGTTTTCTCGCGTCGCAGTTATAGCTTAACAAAACATTTTGAACTCGAAGCTATGAAGTTTGATTTATTTTCTTTTCTTTTATTTTGTTAAGAGAATTAGATACGTATGAATGCGAATTGCGAAAAGAATTAGTTTTCTGAACATGAATATTCTGAGTATAAAATTGCGTGTTGATGACGTGTTTTGTAAAATAGTTATATAAACGAAATGCTACTAATTTGAGAGCGTTGTTAAGTAAACAACATTGTTCTGCTACTATTTTGCAAGAAGGTCATAATGTGGGCTTGCAGGAATAGGTGCTGCTAGACAGCCATTTTATTAAAGGGTCAAATAGTTGTTATAATGCAACTGAGACTTCTAAGTAAGGTTTTAAGGTCTGTGGTGATATTCACAACGATATCTACGGGCCTGCTTATCCATTCAAAATCTAGGAGGCCGTGAGCTCGGCTGCTCATCGGATGCGATTAATATTCAAATAATATTTTCCCCAAAACTTCTGATTGATGTGAAAATTTGCATACGTATCCAGGAGAGATGACATTACATTTTTGAAAATAATATTAATTTACGTAATAGTGTTTTCTGCGGATTTTGTGAGACGTAGAGATAAGAGTTTCATTTCGCGTTTTTATTGTCATTATATAATTTCCGACATCTCGAATATTTCATAGCTCACCGATGATTTATCTGAGTCGTAAAAAATTCAAAATGAAACCAACCGTAAAAGTAATGTTAATTATATCCAAGACGTTATGATTTTAACAGAAAGAACCTAGAACAGAATATTAAATTTAGTTTTTGTTTTTAAAATCATTGGCACATGGAAAACAAATTTTCAACGTTTTCAGTTTTAGTTTATGCAGTGTGCACCTATGTATATTATTATAACACGTAATTAGTAACTGGTAAGTTAAGTATTACTAGGTATTTAATTTATTAACATACAGGTGACGTGTTCATAGTTAAACAAAACTACTTACTTGAGGTAATTCCTGTGGTTTCGCTACATGATATCCTCCCACTTCAATAACGTTCGAAGGTAGCAAGCTAGACCCGTATAATACAAAATTGTGATATAAAAGTAACAATTTCATTTCTCGAGCCAAATAATCCAAAGGCGGAATATCATCAAAATATTCAGCGAGTGTCTCTTCGTCGATCGGTTGATATTTATATTTGTATAGGTAATTAAAATAATTGTGAAGAATGGTCCTTTCAAATCTCTGGTACAGTGACGGTTTGGATCCGCCTTCCAAGAACAGGAATGGTACGTAAGCAGGATGGTACTGGATACCCAAACGCTCGTACTGCCAAGGCACAATCACGTGTGAGTTGATCCCGATTGCTGGAGCCCCCAACTTATAGGCAAGACCCAAACTACAGTCACTCACAAATTGTTCCGTAACCACAAGGTCAAAATGCTGTTTAGTTTTCCACAGTTCTTGGACATCTTCATGATTTAATAATGTTTTGCAGTCACTATTTCCTTTTTCGAGAATAAAATACAAAACATTAATTACAGTCCAATAAGATCTTTTCAATGGGAAGACGTCTTCTAAAATTTTCGTTTTTCCCGCCAAACTAATGTCATGATAATTTTGGTGAGGCACTCTCTGCGGAAAATGCGATACAACAGTCACGTTATGGCCCCTTTTGGCCAATTCTTCCAAATATGGACGAAATACAAAGAAGTGACTTTTCCCAGGATACGGGAACAGGCCCAAAATATTCAATGAACACACTTCAGTTTTATGCAAACAAAAGATAACCAACAAAAGTTCAAGTGTAACGCTAAATCTCATTTTGAGAGATTGTATTCGGCACTAGCTCAAATCGTCAACTGCAATGCCGTCTTCGCAGAATGATTTCAGAACGTATTCTGATAAGAATAGAATGTCTAGCAGCACGTTTTCGATTTACGGCGATAGTTTGTATTTTTATCAATAAAAAATTCACATAGTCAAGATCGACTTCATATTTTTTCATAAGGATATGTTAATTTGTAAAGTAATTCGATCAGTAATGAGAGAAACTAGTTCTTTAGCTATTAAATAACCGTCAAGTAAGGTTATTAATGCACTACAATATTTGTAGATGTTGTAAATTGACTGTACGGCATACAAGTATTTAGGTACCTATTTGTAAAATTGTTTTGCTTGTATTGATTGTTTTAGTCAAAAGAAATAATAGAAATTATTAAATAATTCTGTAGTGTCAGCCTACTGTGATAAAGTTTCAACCTTTGTCAAAAAAGGAAAATGAATGAAGAGGAACTATGTGTATTCTGTAATATTCTAACGTCGATCGATTACTTTTTTCTTTTAAAAACATACAAGCATTGACGATAAAATAAAATTTGTAGGACCTATATGACATAACTGAATGATTTATATAAAAAATTACGAATTTATCTTTAATTTGACGTATTCGATCACAATTTTATTCGTTTCAACTCCCGTATTGATTTATTTCGTTATGAAAATCATACAGGCGCTTACAGTTATCAAATAAATTGCATTGACTTTAAAAAAACTTGTAGGTATCCTTTTCTCTATTTGTCTATCTTAAATCAGCAATTTATGGCTTTTGCCAGCTTGTCTTTTTAGACCATTCAGAAGCAGGCTTTTTTTTGTTCGGGAGGAAACCGCCGGACTTCCGCCCTCCACTGGAATGAAGGGCGGGGCATGTCGGAGTCGAACTAACTAAAACCTCCTGTCGCTCAACAACCCACGTCCGAATCTCGCATGAGACAGAACTTATGAAAAGGCAAAGGGGAAAAGCGTTTAGTGCGGAGCACATCTGTCCCATCACCCTCCTTCAGAGGCAGGCTAGCATACGAATTGCCAGACAATAGTAGTTACGGTCGCTTAAGAACGTTAGCTATGGTTGGGAAACAGCAGAGTCGCTGCTGCGGTTGTCGCAGACAGCCTCTCTTTAAATATCTCTAGTTGAACAAGCACATGAGAAAACGCACAGGAAGCACTCTGGATTTTATTTAATTTTAGGGTCAGATTGTTTGATTATTAATTCCAGCAAGAGGCTAAAACTGTTTTTGACATAAAAATGATATGATTTTTCGCTACGAAATTGGGAAACGGGTTGAAGTCCTCATATTTTTACAACTGATATAAAGTAAGATTTATTTTTAACTAGCTATGCCCGCGACCCCGTCCGCGTGGAATAGCGGCTTTGGGCTGCAGTTTTAGGACATATCTTTTGGTTTATAAACACCGTCATTTGGGTATTTAGAAAAATCTAAATTAGTGAAAACCACATTTAAACCGGCAGAGCTGTTTCTGAGATTAGCGTGCACAAACGCACAGACAAACAGACAAAAATTCTAAAAATATATTTTTTGGGTTCTGGTTCCTAAAGCCCTCTATAACAGTTTTCCTGAGATATCTTCCATGTACAGACAGCGATCAGTTACGATTTTATTATATGTATTGATTATCGATAAGTGATGGTTCTGGGCCAATTTTAAATGAAGGGATCGATATATCAGTGGTTAGTTAGTCTAGTAATTCTATGACCGGGTTTTTTTACCATAATAACTAAACTAAAACATCAGAAAGGGTTAACACAAAGTTTTTGGATTGTTATATCATGGTTTTTAGTTTAATATGTGTATTTTTAATTAAGATAATTTATTTTCAGTGATTTCATTAGTAACTATATTTACTTGATCTAAATTTGAAAGATCTAATATTGATTGACAAGGTCAACTTCGAATTTCTATGACAAAAAGGTCATGGTGGAAATTTAATAATATGTTTTTTTGTATATGTAATAGAAAACGACAAAGGCGTTCGCTAAAACATAAAGAGTTCGAGGAACTTATCAGGTTTTTCTTTACTTAATAGTGAAATCTATGAAATAAATTGGTTATGTATTAAAATGTTTGTTTATATATTCACAAAACGAATGGCATATCAAGTCGATTTACCTCTTAATTGTATTCATGATTTTAAAGTTATGTAATTTTTATCAGGTTAACCTTGGCTCGTAGTGGCAACCCGCCGCAAAGTTAACTTGATTTAATTAACAAAATTAACTACTGACATTTAATAGCGTATAATTAGAATAGCGTCGTCTGGAGATTTGGGTGTTTTCGCAATATCGTATAATAATACATACAATATTTTGTATTTATGAATTGCTTCATACTGTTTCGTAGATGTTTTTTTTTTGTCTAAATTTAATTTGTACTTTTTTTGCTAGAATATATTGTCCTGCATATAAAATATTTAATTTAAAATTTCCTGTTTTGCTGTAGATATCGTAAGCTCCCCAGCCCGGGGAAGATGTAATAATTCCCTCGAGGCTACCAGCGAACGGGAAAAAATGTAAATTCGACACTGACGATAAGCGGTAGACTTCTGTGGCAACTTTTTTTTCTTACCTATTTTAGTAACCTCGAGGGGTTATTCTAGATTCGCCGAGCTAGTAGGTGAGCTCACAGGGCTCAAACATGACGACGTTGCTAGCACGAGCCCTACCAAGAGTCGTGCTTCGCAGAATATACCACCGGATCGGAAACGCGAGCCACTGAGAAGATCCGGCGAGAAACTCAGTGGGCTGTCTGTGGGTTAATTTACTTGTCGAGCGCTTCGTCGCAGGCGACGGGTTCGAGGAGACCAATGACCGGTGCTTGAGGTACCTTAAAGCACCGTTAGTGGATCGGGAGGATCCGAAATGACGTATTTTGGGCGATGTCGACTGCTTTCCATTCGGTCCGCAGGATCGGGAATGTAGTTACCGGCGGCCACGATGAGAGGGTTCTCGTGTCGTGCCGTTTTCTCGAAATGGCGCACTGATGGCGACTATAGATACTTACTGATGGACTATAGGTTCAGGTCCTCATGCAAGTCAATGTTCCTGACGAACCACGGGGGTCCGACGGCTATCCCGCAATATGGCAACTGTAGGATACGTTAATGATATATTTTTTCTAGATAATTTTTTTCTACATTTATCGATTTTGAGGATTCTTTTATTATTTGACAGCTGATACTTCTCACGTGATTTTATTTAAATTTTATCAAGATCGAATCAGTAATAATAGTTAACCTTAATAATGCAGACTTAATTGACTTCGACTATATTGAGCACACTTTTATTTTATTTCGTAGAAATTGATATTTAATTAAAATTCTCTATTTCTGAATCTATTTATGATCAAGACTTAAGTGAAGCAAAAACCTTCCACCTTCCAAAGAGCTTAAGGTAGCTTCGTGGTAAAAATAATGAAAATTATCGTACCTAGTATATACCATTAAAAATGTTACTAAGAATGAGAATAATAATAAAAAAAACCGAAAACATTACTTTCTTTTCAGTTTATTTTTTTTATCGTTTTCCCTCTTACTGGTACATAACCGAACTAATAATTTGAATACAACGAATACGCTAATGACGCTTATGCTGCCGAGTACAGCAATAACGTCAAGATACAAGTATTGGTACAATGGTACATCGACAGATCTACTCCGAAACGTAATATTACTATATTTGGCTGCGAACTCTGTCCAGAAAATTGCACTATCCATTGCTTTTACGGGACGGTCGTTCCACGCTTTCGATATAAATTTCACCCTTTTTCTAAACCTGAAAAGTTAATGAACATTTTACTATATTGGTATATGTAATTTTGTTTTAATATGTTACCGGAGCCCATAGACATGACGACGTGAATCCTGCTACCCACTCAAGTTATGAAGTTCAAGTCTTAATTGTAAAGTTTAGCAGTAGTCATACCCTTCAAACTGGAACGCATTATAGCATGGCGTCAGAAATAGGCATGGTGTAACCTACACGTGCATGTTTTTACGGGTTGCGGGCCGAACCTTCTCCTAAAGATAGGTAGGATTCCGCGGATAACACTATGACCGGCCGCGTTGCTCTCCCCTAGGATGCCCCTCCGGTAGAGTTCGCGTCAGAGAGGCTTTAGTTGACCTTCGTTTAAGTGGTTTGAACTCCGTAATGTACAAAATATTGTAAATAGTGCGTACAAAATATTGTAATTTAAAAAAAAAAAATGTAATGGTTAGATGGGTGGACGAGCTCACAGACCACCTGGTGTTCATTAAAAATGTAATTAAATAAACGGTTATGACATACTCTGGATTCAAAACGGTTCTTAGTTTCCCTAAGAGGTTCTCTTTAGTCAAATCTTCGATTTGTATTTGGACACCTAAACCACTCTCTTCAACTGCCGCCGCATTTGCAGGCTGGTCCCCGAAGACCGGCATTCCCACAACGGGAACTCCATGATAGATAGCCTCCGTGGTCCCTAGCTGACCGCAATGCGAATAGAAAGCTAGTACTTTCGGATGGGCTGAAATAAAAAATAAGTAATTATGTAGCTATTGCAAACGAATGCGAAATTGTAATGAATTGAAATTTCTCTTGTGACTTCAATCTCATGTGTCAAAATCAGTGTGTAGTCGATATATTATATGGGCTTTTGTAACGAGACTTTAGACCCGGTGAGTTAAAAGCTAGCCGGATAATTTAAGGCAGTAAAGGAAATTATTAAAATTACGGTTTTATTCTCAACGCGATAAGTCATAAACCACTAACTAACTAAAGTACAAATTTTCACCCAAAGCGTTTCTTTTTATTTTAATTTGAAATAATGAAATCAATTTTACGTTTTTTCTTCTCTCGTAAAGATCTTGAGTGTTCAGTGTATTTTTATCAGGAATGATGAGATGGGTTATAATATCTTATCGTATTATCGATCACATGACAATAGCTTTTTGCTTGTTTGACGAATAAAGTATGTGTCGATAACATCAAATAAACTAATATTGTTTATTCAAATAATTATGTCAAAACAGTTCCCTTTTTTTTTTAAAAGTATGCTTGTGGTTTTGTACTTATTTTAATTTAGTTAGTTACAATGAATAGTAGCCAAGACCCATTAGTGTTTTTGTTCATTATAATGTATTTTAAAATATACGATACGAGATCTTGAACTTTGATTGTGTTTTCTTTCTCTCGTTCAAAACTATTTCTCAATAGTAAATTGAATCTCACCTAAAATATCGTTTTGAGGAAGCCAGTTTGATATGAAAATATTCTTAGGGTTGCCGGGTAGTGTTCCTTCCTCCCATTTCCATATCACTCTCTGAGGTAATTCAGCGACAGCACCCAATATAGCCTCGATTTTATCTAATGAAGTAGCCGCAGCTTTTAGCATCGATCCAAAACTAATATAAATAATGCCGTGCTCAGATTCCTCGATAAACTTTTTGACATCCTGAAAACAAAGCAACGCAATAAACGCATATTAACATGACGTGTGTAATGAGGTTTAATTTAAAAATAATGTTACTAATGCAACACTTAAACCCACTGAGTTTCTTGAGGATCTTCTCAGTGGGTCGCGATTCCGATCAGGTAGTAGATTCAGCGAAGTACTGCTCTTGCTAGGGCTAGTGTTCGGAATTTTCTATGGTTGAGCCCGTGAGCTCACCTACCGGTCCGCGTGAAGTTGGAATAGCCTCTTCTCAGGCTACCAACGATTAGGTAGGAAAAAAAACAACACTTACCGGACGGAGTTCCTTGGGTTGAGCAACGTGGTAGCCCCCGACTTCTTTTACATTTGAAGGTAAAATATTAGGACCGGATAGCACAAAGTTATGATAGAAAAGCATTATTTTGATTTCACGAGCTAATTCGTTTAAAGGTGGAATGTCATCGAAGTATTGCGCCAGCGTATTTTGATTGGTTCTTTGAGAAAGGTATTCGAAAATAAAATTATAGTAGTGATGGAATATTGTTCTTTCAATACGTTGGAACAGTGTAGGTTTCGTTCCGCCTTCCAAGAATTGGAATGTCATATACGAGGGATTGTAATGTATGCCGAATCTTTCGTAGTGGTAAGGCATAAGAACGTGCGAGTTTGTGCCGACCACTGGTGTTCCTAATTTATAAGCGAGCCCTAATGCACAATCACTGTTAAACTGTTCAACAACAGCAACGTCAAAATGTATTTTATTTTTCCACAAGTCCTGTACCTCCTTATTGGCAAGCATTATCTTGCAATTGTCCATGCCAGTACTCATTAAATAAAGGCTGACTTCAATCAAAGATCTATAGGACCTTTCGACAGAAAAGGAGTTTTCCATTATTTTTGTGGTGTTTGCTAAGCTTATATCACGATAATTCTTAACCGCTTTGGTTTGAGGGAAATGAGAGATTACAGTCACACTGTGTCCTCTTCTGGCCAATTCTTCTAGGTACGGCTGGAACACAAAAAAATGACTTCTGCCTTGATACGGAAACACTCCGAGGATATTTAACGTATGCACCCCACTCATAATGAATGTGAGCAACAACAATTTTATTTTGGTTTGTTTTGCCATTTTTAATAATCCAACCAGACTCAACAGCGATAAGTTCACAACTGATTGTTTTGGCGACGGTGTCTTAAATTGTAATGTAATGATAAAATAATTGCCGAGTCATAGAGCGGAGCTTGTGCGCCACAATTATTGGATAATTTTTGGATATTTATACTATACCTACCTATAATATTTTATCTTATCTCTTACAAAACTGTAACAGAAGTGTGATTGTACCGAAAGTCGTTTGCCATATGGTGTTTCTGTGTAGGTGCATGATACTCAATTTAATGAATATAAAACAAATAAATGATAAACGATTTGAATCAAATTTATTTTTGTTTGTTTGAGCGTCAATAGTTTCTGGATCCATTCCGATTATGTTTTTGTCTTTATTAACGTTATGATGGGGTTGCAGGTCCTTTGTACTTGTAGGGACACAGTTTGTTATGTAAACAAAATTGTTCGTAGTCATAACATGTCGTAGCTGCGCCCGCAAGCTCCGTTGCTTTTTACTTTTTAAGTTCAGTCGCGACTCGCGAATAAGCGCTCCGATTAGCCAGTTGTGCTATTTAATTATAACACTTACGATAACGCCCTGAACCATTATTGACCACTACTAAAATAACACATAAATACTTACGTATTATTTAAAATACGGTATAATAAAGATGTAACTGTAAAACAGCAAGTTTTATTACGGTAAAAATGAAGACCTTTGAACTCGCATCTCAAGGCGGATGGCGGCATTTAACTCGTACATTATCTATGGGCTACGGTAACTATTAAAAACAGGTGGGCTGTGGCGCATCCTTCCACCTAAACAACAAAAAAAGGGACGAACAAATCTCTTGAATTATATCAGTTTCCAATTCTAGTATATTCTCTCTTCTTTGTTTTTCTTCACTATTCTTTAATTATAAATATCTTATCGGAGGTTTAAACCTAAATTGACTATAGCGTTATCGAGACCTTCTGAACGTACTATGAATTTATCTATTCATATTGGTTTGTTTAGACGCCGATAACTAAAACGCCGCTTTAGTATTCAATGTTGCCCTCTTGTGGAAAATAAATCCAATATGGTCATTGGAATCGGCACTATCTCAGTTATATTCTCAAATTTGCTTTATTTTTTTTAACACGGGAAATTTGTTCGATCCTCTCAGCTTACATAGAGTAATTGACACTTAGACGTCATTTCTCATAGTAGATCGCAGCCATAGACCTTAGGTTTCATACTTCAGTGATCGCAGCATTCAATTCACCGATTAACACCGGATGGAGGACTGTGAGCTCATTCATCCTTCAAAGCAAAAATAACACGTAGTAGATTTAAATAAAAACTGAAATTGGTATCGACAGGTTCGTATGACCGTCCCATAAAAAAACCGAAAAATCTGCAATGTGCAACTAAGGGCCTGTGCACACCACGTTTTTTAAACGCGCCGTCGACGCGCGTTCGTAGCGATACAGACGCGATACGCACGCAAGTCAGCCTGTAAACCTTTGCACACCTGTATAAATTAAAATACGCGTTTGAATCGATACAGACGTGATGCTAACGTGCGTTTGTATCGATACACATGCGCGTTAGCATCGCGTTTGTATCGATACAGACGACAACAAACCGCTCTGTAGGATAAACGTACAAAACGTGGTGTGCACAGGCCCTAATAGTCAATGACTTGTTTTTAGTTAGAAAATATATTATTGGGACAAATCGCTAGATAATAATTAATTTCGATTTATAATCAAGAATACTATAGGTATAAATACTAAGATTGATTAAGAACACAGTAAATATGCATCTGTTTTTAATGTTACTATTCATTTACAATTATAAATTAATTATTATATTTATAATAAATAGCTTGTAATTAAATTTAGAAAAAAAACACATAGAATTTATACATTATGTACATATTTGAATTTAAACAAGGGTTCCACATGACCACAAATGCTCTGCCAAGAGCAACCGACTATGGTATTTGAATTTAATTTTTTACTATCACTGCCTGTTGCTATTTAATGGGTACAAAACAAATTATTATTAGTAGATACATCTTCAAGTAGATTTTGTGGGCAAAGGCGTTTCAAAATTATATCTGAATATTAAGATCTCTAAAACATTATAATTTAAGTCAATATCGTTTTTGATTTCTCTATAATTAACTATAGATATTACAACACTTACGTTATAAATATTTTTTAATTATAGGAAACATTCTTAATTAATAAAATCTTAATTATCCTCTTTCAAAGTGAGAATTATACATACGTGGTGGTAGGACCACTTGTGAGTCCGCGCGGGTAGGTACCATTGCCCTGCCTATTTCTGCCGTGAAGCAGTAATGCGCTTCGGTTTGAAGGGTGGGGCAGCCGTTGTAACTATACTGAGACCTTAGAACTTATATCACAAGGTGGGTGGCGCATTTGCGGTCTAGATGTCTATGGGCTCCAGTAACCACTTAACACCAGGTGGGCTGTGAGCTCGTCCACCCATCTAAGCAATAAAAAATAAAAAAACGTATTTATAAATTACGTTTCACTCTAAGTAGCAGGAATTTCCGTTATAAAAAAATACCCCAATAGCTTCATCTAGTATAATAGCTTGTGATCCTTATTACCGATTTACGAATTACGTCAAACGTTTCCATACTGCACGACAGCATTGTTCTTTTTTCATCGTGTATCATATATCATCTTCGGCCTTGGCGGGATATACATACGTTACATTACGATGAATGATGAACAAGGCGTTTTAGACATCAAGGTTTTAGCAAGGCAATACTTATCTACAAAACACAATAAATAATTTCAATATTCATGATCTTCCTTGCGTCGTTTCCGCACCACAGAGGGTCGTGACCATCATGTTTCTACAGGATTTTACTTTATGTAATGTCCCAACAGCGCTTTCGATTATTGGCTGCGTGAAGGGCTTCGTGGCTGGCTTGTCGGATTGAACCACCGCTCGACTCAATTTCCCTGTCACGAATAGTCTCTCTAAGCTATCGGGTGTTTTCCGAGTAATATGACGAAAGAAATCGAGTGAGCGGCGAAGGCAGAAGGCAGTCTTGTTTTAATCAGTTAACAGTTGTTCTAAGATAGACACTGTGCGCTCAGTGCGAGTTTTTTAACGTTCTCGATAGCGTAAAAGTTAGCTCATATTTGTATGGAATGGGATCGTTTGCGTACGTTTGCCACTAGGGCGCTGTTCCAACTGCATACAAAATTGGGTTAACTTTACGCTATAGAGAAGGTTAAGAAACTCGCACTAAGCACACTAGTTCTTTTCGTTGTCCAAGTTATCCGGAGCATTCTCCTCCAGCGCCACATTTCAAACGCACCTACGTGTTTGCGATCAGCTGCCTTAAGGGTCCAGGTCTCCGCTTCGTATAGAACAATGGAAAAGACTAAAGTGAGCTCCAGTTTTCTAGGTAATGTTATAGTCTTTTAAATTTTGGACGGAGCTGGGTCATAGCTCCCTTTGCCATTCCGTTACGCCGTCGTATATTATTTTTATAATACAAAATTCATGATACATACTTTTATTATCACTAAGAAATTCCGAAGGATCAATTTTGGGAGAATACTTTAGGAATCGGTAACTGTGTATGTTTTATGAAATGAATTCGAACAGGATATTTAATTTTTTCAATTTAGAAGATATTTCTACGTATATATGTATATACACATAATATAATATACACGTATAGACCTAATAATAATATACACACAATATATACATATACTATTCCTGAAAGTCGAATTTTTAACTGTCCAACAGAAAAATACAATTTATATTTCTCGTGATACAGGTCAAAATACAAATTTTTATTGTATCGATACTACCATTTAAAATCAACATTCACGAGTAATGTACAGTGCTCAATAACAAAATACGACCTTATAGTAAATAAGCTTTTATTTAACATTAATTCACAGATACACTCTTTGAGACAGACTCTTTGAGTAAGAACAGGTAGTGGTCTTAGTTATTTGACGTACACTATATGCTTAAAAATAAATTAACAGTCAAACTTATAAATCGTATAAAAAAAATTGAAAATTCTCAAGCCCACAATCCTTATTAGCATGTCCATTGTAAACACTAAGCATCTCTAAATACAGAGATCTTTACTATAGCGATAAAGATCACGTTCTATCTCCATTGAGTTATTCATTCGAATTTTACTCTTTTTCTTTTCCTTGTGTCCCCTACGTCATCGCCGTTTCCGGAATCAGCTCGACAGCAACAACAGCAAAGGGTTCTGAGGATTTTGTATAAAGCGTAGAACAGGATATAAACAACGATTGCCACAAACAATAACACGTCTAGCTGCAATTGTTGATATAGTGGTGCTTGTGACGACAAAGGCTGAAGATTGGGAGCTCCTTGGTATCGAGCTACGTATTCCGTCCAATAGATGGCGTTTTCCAAAGGCGACAAAGAACGGTCGTGCCACAACTTGGACGTCAGCTTTGCTTGTTGTTGCCTCCTAAAGGAAACACATACAAAATCGTTTGTAATTGAATACATATCGCAATTTGATAACAAACATAATATGATATACTTTCTTTATACTAATTTACTATCATATTTATATGGGGTGATAATAAGCTAGACTTGCCACTGAGAATATACGCCTTAATAATTTTTCAGTCAGTTTTAATTTTTTTTCTCTTCTTATGCTGATAGCCTTGGGAGGCTATTTCAG